CGCGCGTGTGGCGACGTTGTAAGTGTGGACGCGATCATGGCTGGAATCTGGCGATATTGGCGTGAATAACAGTTTGCTTCGCGATACGCTTGCTGTGTGATTGTTATTTGCGATGAAAGTGTTGGGAGGGTGAAAGAAGGAAGTACTGCGAAGACGCGTGGCAGGGCCTGAGAGCGGGAAGCGCGCTAGCGCGCTCGGCCACCCAACCATCTCGTGGTTCATGAGATCCCACCAGGAACAATCCACAGCAGCCTGACTGAGCCGAGACCGCCGCGCAACCTGCGATGAAGCTGCTCTTTCGAGTCGCGCATATTCTGCTGGTACTCGTCCTCTCGTCTCTGCTGATATACAGCGTCTATTACGCGTTCGCGCTTCTAGCGGAAGACCAGCAGCACAGCTCGCCGCAGTCAGTGCAAGCCGATTCCGAATTGGACACCGACTACGTATCTCGCAAGCCATCACCACAAGAAATAGTATGTATCTTCCAATGGCCGCATCGAGATGGTCGTGTACTGACGTTACACAGGCTGCATCGATGAACACATTGTGGGACTACCTGGACGACTGGGATGAAGAGCATTGCAAGAATGTCTGCGAGGCTTCGTGGGTTGCCTGCCGACTGAGGAATTGCTATCACCTACCGGATGTCAGGAAGCAAGAGCTGTGAAGATAAGTCATGAATAATGGCTTGCGACGCTGGACGGCGCGTCTGCGATCTCGCTGCAACACCATCTGGAGCATTCTGAACGTGTCTCAGCGATTGCAGAAGACTTCACTATATTCGAACAACGATCGTGTGGGGTTGCGCGAGACTCAGGCGATGGATGCTCAATGCCGGAGTGCCCCACACCCTTCATCAATATGGCTAAGAGTACCATACGCCCATGCATCACTACTATTCGTCCATGGAATCCAGGAACGCGGGAACCTATCCCATTAGGAATTCTACAGCCTGCGACGATACTGGACATCATTGTTTTAAAGGCCCGTGAACTCTCGCTGTCGACACACCAAGATCGCTACAACCATTATGGCTTTTCTCTTTGCCCTGGCTTCGATGGCGACGTCGACTATGGCTTTCGACTGCACCCGCGAATATCTCCAGAACACAGCAGACTCCTACGTCGACCTAATGGCATCCGGTCAACACGACCGTTTCGAAAACATCGCCTACACCATGAAATACTTCGAAAACAACGTAACCGCCTCACTTCTCAACGGCGTACCCGCCTTCGGCCTAACCATTGACGCCCATCGCTCCATCCTCGATACCACGCAATGCAAGACAATGACCGAGCTCATCGCAACCGACCCCAAGCATCCATACGTCATACACACGCAAATGACCCTAGACACCGAAGGCAACGTGAACCTCATCGACAGCATCGTGACCGACGCAGGCGACTGGGCTTTCAACGCAACCGGCACCTCCTACTGGAACAGCCAAGAAACCTGGAGCCCCATCCCCGAATCTACCCGCGACACCCGCGAGACCATCAAAGCAGCCGGCGAAGCCTACGCCGACCGCTGCAACGACGTCTCCGTCCACGTCCCGTTCGGCACGCCCTGCGCGCGTCTCGAAGGCGGCGCGTATACCGGTCGTGGAAATCTCTCAGCGAATACGTGCGATATTGGTGGGCTGCCTGAACATGGCCCCATGACTAATCGCAAGTATGTTGTTGATGAGGTGATGGGTGTTGTGGATATCTTCATGGGGTTTACGGGGCTTGATCGCACGAGGAATACGGAGGGGACGCCGGATAGTCACATGTTTCGGGTTGAGGGGGGGAGGATTAGGTATATTCATACGGCGAGTGCGTGTTTTGTTGATGGGTGTGGGATGAATGATACTGGTATGTTCTTGTAGATTGAGGGTTGTGGGTAGGGGTGCTAACAGGTTGACAGGTATTCCGCCGGGTGTTGGACGTTTGGCGTTGCGTCCGCGGGCGCTCAAGCTTGACTAGCTGATCATCTCAAGCTTCTTGATGAAAGCCTGAACGTGGCTGATAACGGGTTCGAGGTTGGCACGTTGATTAGGGACTACCAAGCGATGCCACAGTACCGAAGCCTGATGTACACTCACGGGCTGTTCATTCCTTCTTTCGTCTCAGTAGTCTCACGACCTCATATACTTCGTCGAGCACCTCACAACCCCATCTTCAGTCCCAGTTAACCCTCGCTTTCACCTCAGGATGATCCTCCAACCACTCCTCCACATCCCCCTCATCAACCACCAGTCCTGGATGCATCTTCATCGCATCGACAAGCACATCCCTAATCCCCTTGTCATCATCCAGCGTAGATGTGAACGCCTCTTCCAGCGCATCAGCCAAATCCAGTCCCTCATACTGCCAGTACACATGCAAGACGTCCATGACGCCCTGGCGTGCGAAGGCTTTCAAGTCGAGCATGTCGAAGTAGTCGGCAACCGTGTAGATGCGTACGTGCAGTAGGAGGTGCGAAGCCGATAGCGTCTTGCCGGCACAAGGACATTTGCGCTTGAAGATCTGTGGGGCGGTCGGGGGACCGTGCAGGAGGGCGTAGGTGCTGTGGTTGCAGTAGGCTGTGGGGTGAACTGTCTCGCCGCCGGGGATTTGGTAGGTTGATGTGTACATGTAGTCTAGGATGTGCTTCATGGTAACCGTGTCGACGTCAGGAATTTGTACTTCTCGGCTATTAGTTTCCTGTATTCGGTCAGTATGACATGTATGTCGATGTGGTTGCTAATACTCACGCTACCGTTGAAGCGAAACATGCGGGCAAAGTACGGCGACGAGGCTTCCAGGATGATCTTATGGGTGATGAAATGCTGGCCTTCGCAGATGATGGTGAAGTCTGAGGTTTCGTCATTGAGTGCAAGCTTTGTCTCTTTAGTCTTGGGCTTAAATGGTGTTGGAGGAGCGTGGTTTTCTTTATCGAAAACCTGAGATGCTTTGACCTGCGGCGTCTTGGGGACGATCTTGCGGATGGTGGTTGGTTCAGTTGGGAGATCCATGGCTTTGATGTGATCTAGGGTCTGAATGGTTGTTGATCAACACGGGTATTGACAGCGGGTGATGTGTGACCAGATGCGTCACGAGAGCTACGAGCTCACATGGAAAGGTATTGCTGGTCGCAGATTGTTTTGCACCGCTGTTTACTGTCGCCTAGAGCGGGTGGGGAGTCGCTTGCGCAGCCGTTCTCATTCCAGCTTCACGCGTTAAACCGATGTCGTTACCACGGCGATAATCGAAACGCCTGCGGAGAGCAGGCAGCGATCGCTTTCCGCGCATTGATCTGTGATGGTGATGATGAGCGTGAAGATGACTTGTCCCAGGCAAACATGTGGCGCTGAAGAGATCAGCCCGCCTCTAGTAAGCTTTACAGGGATGGAGAGCGCGGCGATGTGCGCACCCGCGTCGATGACGCGCATGCACGTGTTGTGATTTCAGGCTATTGTAGTCTCCACAGACCTATTAAAGTAAAGACCGGCCGTCGATTGCGAGCAAAGTAGTAGTCTTAAGACAGCTACTTGCTTGAAGGCTGAAGGACTCTTAGGGCTGAAAACGAAGTCACACAATTTGAGTACAAAGATACCCGTTCTACGTTCTCGTTGATGCAACTTCATTACTTCCAGCAGGACCGTGAGTGTCAGAAAGGTCAGTCTTGACGGCGAAAAGATATCGCGTTTGACTACCATTGTGACGTCATCGCGACTACCTCAGCTACACCTGCGGAACTTCGCCGATGGAGATCGACAGTCTGCCGATAGAAACATACCTAGGTACGAAGACCACTCGTCAAACAGATCAGCGCCGCCGCTAGCATGAACCCACACGCATACCTGAACATCTTCCCTCTTCGCCTCAGCCCATACGAAATAAGCATCAAAACGTCAACAGCCATTACCATAAAATCCAACGTCTTGCTCATAATTAACAAACCGCCCACAAAAAGGCAAGCATCGCAACCAAAGATCATCAAAACCTCCCTACATAACGCGGCACCCCTCATGACAAGGAGCTTATTCTGGTGCCTCGGCTGTCGTATCATAGCGACCTGCCCACTCGTCTCGGTCACGATGCATAGAGCCTGGACGACCATACGCATGGCAGTCTCGGACAAGTATGTCCTGCAATCCGAGCCCAACAGAGCGGAGAGAAAAAACATCTCGATGGGAGCACCATAGAGATTATCCAGGCTCTTCAGAAGGCCTATCAACAGGAAAACGAGTGTCGGGCCCACCAAAGGTACAAAGACCAGCTTCATGTAACAAAGCCAGAACGAGAAAGCGTCTGCCCATGTCAACTGTCGTGTGAAGAAGGCGTGTGAGAGTAGCGCCATCTTTTGTTCGTGGGCTTGTGTATGTAATCGGCGTAGCAGAGGGACGCTGGCGACTTGCGGGCCTGCGAGTACAGATCCAACCAACAGTGCGTAGTCGATAAATGACTCGGTGCAGAAATTCGACAAGAGACAGCACATTGCGTAGTCCATGCGGCTCGCATATCTGACGGCGAGAGGAACTGCGCAGAGAGAGCAGTTTGTCATGTTGAACTTCAAAGTCATCGTCTTGAGACACTCGCTGCCGATGAGATGCCCGCAGGGTAGGAGTCGCACGGCTTTGCATGGAAGTTCGGTAGGGTCGTCTTCGTTGTCGATGGAATTGAATGGACGCATGCATACGTAGCATTCATCTTCTGGGTCGGGCGACTCGACGTCTTCTGTTTCATAAGTCTTTAGGGTGGCAGTGATGGTGTAGATCGGCTGGATTGATGCCATTGCGACTTAGTTGGTGCTGAAAAAAACGAGTTGTGAGGTAGTTTGATAGGTTGTAGTCTGGTGTTAGTAACTATACCGAAGGCTTCGTGTCATATAGTGGCATTCACGTGCAGTGTACTGACAGACAACAGTTAGTGAAATGAGTGAAATTCGCAACGAATAGTCACAATGTGTTCTGTTTACGGTCTGCACTCTTTTTATGCCGAGCAGCAAGATGCTCTCGACCAGTATGATCCAAATCATCATGTTTGCTGCTTTGCAGGACGCAGCATGAGCTACCACAAAGTTAGCCACACTTCGCAACAGACTCAATCTCAAGCACAAACTCACAATGAAATCCATCTTGTCCCCTCCTCTCCACCTCCTCAAATCCAATTCCACAGTCTTCACAGCCTGAAACCCATGTCTCGCATACATTGGCGCACCCATGGGACTCGCTTCAAGGAAAGCCTCAACACCAACCTCGTCTGCCTTCTCACACCCCCATCGCACCAGCATACTTCCCGCTCCCCTCCTTCCATGTTGCGGCAATGTAACCAGTGTGTCTAAGACATAGTAAGGTCTCCTCCCCAGAATCTCCCGCTTGTTCGAGTTGAACAGTTTGAAGAGTTCCGCGAACATATCCGGGTCACTTTCTTCGTATGGTGGTGGGACGGTGAGACCGGCATCGACTTCTTCCCAGGTACGTTCTTTCGCGCCCTCCTCTTTGGGCTTGACGTAGCGCCAACGTGCGCCCGCGATCATCTCGCCGGTCGAGGTGTCGACGCACTTGACGTAGAGTATGCCCTTGTTGGTTATGCCATCGCGGATGTCTTCTGTCACTTTGTCGAGGGTTACCTGAGATGGCTCGCGGCGAGCGTAGAGGATCTTGTTGACGGTGGGTCGGAAGACCTCGTGGCGTATGCGCATGTATTGCTCTGCTTCTTCGGGCTTGAGAAGCGAGACTGTGAGGTTGGGGTCTGGCATGTTGATGGTTGGAAGACTCTGTAGGACAGAGACGAAAGAGACTGCTCGACAGTGAAACGTAGGTAGTGGTACTGAGAAATTAATCTAGGAAACTGCGTGTACTTATGTACTGATGTGTCTGCCTAGGGCAGAGTCATACCTTCCGCGTTTGGCGTGCCCGGCATGCCTGTCGGAATCGGAGTAGTCGACCAATAGAAGTCCAAAGCGAAAGGAGTTGGAGATGGGATATGATTCTTCTTACCCAGAAAAATGATGTACCTGTCATTCTACATCCTGCACGCAAAAGAGCTGACGCGGTGGCCTTGTCACGTGGCCATCAATGGATGCCCAGGTGATGCAGCGGAGGTTGTTTCCTGTGGGGGAACAGGGCATCATTCAGGGCTTAATTACCCGTTTGCGGCGGAACGTCTTTTTAGTGTACCATTTTCCAAGATGTATGATTCTTCACTATTCACTCACGCTGTCTCATGTTGAGTTCAGACATATTGCTATGGTGTTGTTGTGTCACATGCTGAGTACTGCGAGTGGTGGGTTGCGAGATGCTGACTGCGGAGGCTCGCCTAATCCTACCGCGTACCAGGGTCATCCCTGCAACAATTTCTCCCTCAGTTTTGCGATCGCGCGCCGGCAGCTCTCATTGCACATCCACGATAAACCGCAATGGCGCCCGCAAAGACGATCCCACACAAGTCCGGTGGTCACCAGCGCTATGCTGCCGAGAAAGCGAAAGCCCCTGTGCGATTCCAGTCCGAGCTCGAGGGCTCAGACGACGATGCAAATGCAGGCGCACTGCAGCCGGTGAAGGAACCCCAGGACGATGACTTTGAGGGCTTTGGCACAGAGGAGGAGGCTGGAAACGAGGCAGCTCAAGATGAGGAAAGCGATGACGAGAGCATAGACATCCAGACGGAAAAGAAGCAGGAGAAGCCTGTCCTGCCCAAAGATGCTGAGGAGGAAGAATTGGAGCGCATGATCTTTGGCGACTCTGAAGGCTTCCGCCAGGGTCTGGAGAACTTTTCGCTCGACCCGACCGCAAACGCATACGGCGACTCATCGGACGAATCCGGCGCAGAAGAGGCCGACCTCGACGCTGTGGCTGACCAGGACCTCTTTTTCTTCGATGCTGGCCCAGTCGCTGCGCCCGCGGGATCGGTTGCTGCAAAGGCAGAAGAATCAGACGAGGACGATGGCAAGCCGGCCTGGGAAGATAGCGACGACGAGAGGCTTGTAGTCAGCTTGGCGTCGGTGCCGCAACTGAGGAAGCTGCGAGAGACGGCAGACGACGATATGGTCAACGGCAAGGAATATGCTCGACGGTTGCGGAAGCAATACCAGAGGTTATATCCTACGCCAAAGTGGGCGGCTCATGCGACAGGCAAGGCTAACAAGAAGCGCCGACGGGACATGGACGATGACGAGAGTGGTGACGAGTCTGCGAGCGACATGGACGTGGATGAAGAGGATTTGTCCACCCAGCCGCTGGCCAGGCTACTCAAGGATGCAGATATTCTGTCACAAACCTCGAGAAGCGTGGCCAAGCGGAGGAAGGTGCAAGCAGGCACCATTGACATTCAGCGACTGAAAGACGTCGCAAAGGCTGGCCCGGTGAGTATTGCGACGCCATTGTATAGAATCCTCTTACTGACTGCTACCTTAGTCTGCGATAACGTCGCTATCCTTCCACCCCGCGTACCCGCTGCTCCTCTCCTCTGGTCCTAGCTCAACACTATACCTTCACCACGTCAACCCCAACCCGCCGAACCCGAACCCTCTGCTCACATCCCTGCACATCAAAAAGACTCCTCTCGTCACAACAGCGTTCCACCCTTCACCTTCTGACTCGCGCATCTTCCTCAGCGCGCGACGACGCTACTTCCACGTCTGGAACATTGCGACCGGCCGAGTGGAGAAGGTATCGCGCGTATACGGTCACCAGCACGAACAACGGACAATGGAGAACTTCTCTCTCTCACCGAACGGCAAATACATGGCTCTTCGGGGTTCCTCGAGAAAGGGTGGCGGTGTTATCAACATTCTGGATGCAAGGACACTGCAGTGGGCGACACAGGTGCGCGTCGAGTCAAGAGGTGGTGTTGCTGACTTCGCATGGTGGGGCGACGGCACTGGAATGAGCATTGCGGGCAAGAACGGAGAGATAACGGAGTGGAGCGTTGAAGGAGGCGTCATAGGAAGATGGAACGACGAGGGTGCTGTGGGTACCACAGTCATCGCACTCGGTGGTAAGAGCGGACGTGAAAGCTGGATAGGTGGCGATCGATGGGTGGCCATTGGCAGTTCAAGTGGCGTTGTCAACATCTACGACCGGCGAGCATGGAGCGAGAACGACCTTTCAGTCAAGCCTGCCAAAGACGATTCGAATGGCGGTATCCCGAAGGCACCGAAGCCGGTACGCGACTTGCAGAACCTGACGACGCCGATTTCGCATCTCACGTTCACCGCGGACGGTCAAGTACTTGCCATGGCGAGTCAATGGAAGAACAACGCAATGAGGCTGGTGCATCTTCCATCGGCAACCGTCTTTAAGAATTGGCCTACCGAGAAGACACCGCTCGGCAGAATCACAGCAGTCGCATGGGGAAGGCCGAGCGAAGAGGAGGAGAGAGAAGGCAGTCTCGCACAGCTAGCAGTCGCCAACGAAGCTGGACATATTAGAATGTGGGAGGTAAGAGCTTAATTTTGGCAGCGTCGACGTTAGAGGACGCCAAATCACTAGTGTTTTCGAACCAATCTGGTGGCTGGGAGTTTTGACCGAGAGTACTGCACATATCGCAGACAAGATGTTGAACATATTTTCGAAGACGCAGCACAAATGATTGCTTCACATCTTCGCTTCAGTAATGAGCAAGCTGCGTCAACTGCGAGGGATCAGTCAAGCGCGGGTTCTTACACGCCGGATCGCAACTGCTGCGAACTCCCGAGCCGAGAAAGTCAACAACTATTCATCTCGCTTTCCAACTGCTCTGCAAACATGTCGCGTCGTCCTCACTCCGTCTATCGATCTATCGTCTATGCTTACTCTATTTTCACCGCAATCATGGCAGGTACACTCCCCACGCACCCGGTCTTATACACCCACCTCGTACGACTATCCTCCATCACCACAACAGCACTTTTGGATACCTCTTGCACCACAATCATTGCACAACAGCCTATCAGCAACATCTTCGCAAGTGCATCATAGCAACAACATTTCCTCTCTCATCATGGGCAAGAACAAGATCCGCAGCAAGAACAAGTCGAGGAAAGACAAGACCTCCATAAGCGACACGAATGGCTCAAGCACCCCTTCGACATGGACATCTGCACACGGAGCCGTTATGACCAGATCTACTAGCGATACATCTGGTCGCCAGCAAGTACCAACAGAACCTCCTCAGAAAGTGCTCTGTGTTCCGACCATCGCTTCACTCAAAGATACGACTACATCCAGCCCTTCCTCCGGCTCATCGCCGGCTCCTCCGATAACGCGTGCAAAGCGTGCAGAAGACAAACGAGACTCGGTCATCTCAAGCACATGGGAAGGTCCAAAGCAGCAGTCCGAACCTAAAGCTACCACCGCAGCCCGACCTCGATGGGGCTTCAGGCCTCGCAACTGGTGGCCATGTCGCATCATACGCTGGATATACCAATTCTTCGTCGCCCTGACTCGGATACGCTGGACCGACAAGCAAACCTCCAAGGACCTCATCTTAACACTAGCCTTCGTCGGTATAGTCGTGGCCGGTGGCTACGTTGCCCTGGACATATTGCTCAAAGCGATACCTGGTGTCTCGGCTCAAGCGGTCGACGGCAACTGCAGTATCGTCTATGTCACTGTTCCTGGACCGATCATTACCATTTCGCTCGTTGGTGCGTCGCCGACAAATCCGGCGAAAGGCACGTACTACTTTTCTGTTGTGAATAGTACGACGGAGTGGTTGGACAGTATTGCGCCGCCTAGTCGGTTCAGTACGCTGCCTACTAGGACGGTGGATGTCACGCCGATTGTTTCTTCGGTGGGGGTGTCGAGTATGCCTTCTTCTGGTGCTGCTGTTGTGTCTTCGACGTTAGGACCGACCTCGTCAGCTCTGTTCTTACCGGGTCTATCGACTTCGTCGTCTGTAAGTTCATCTTCTTCGGGCTCAGCATTGTCGGAGACATCGAGCTTACCTCGGCCTATCAATCAACCACAGAGACCTTATCCGTCGTTTCCTGCGTCAACGAGCGTTGTCACTATCAGCAGCGGGCTGTCTACTTTCGTCTCTACGCTCTCTACGATTCTTTTGCCGTCTTCAGTCTCCGCGCCCTCGAATACCATCAGCTCTGTCACCTCGTCAGTCGTCTCATCAAGAACTCTGCCGAGTCTTAGCTCTACCATACTCCCAATCACAACTGGCGGAACGTCTTCGGCGCCTCTAACTGGTTCGAACGTACCAACGACTTCAAGCGCACCTACAACGTTGACAAGCCTATCCGGTAGCTCGGCTAACCTCCGCCCCGGTACATCAACAACTACTGGGGGCTCTTTCGTTTTCCCATCCATGCAGAGCGATGGCTTCACCGTGTCTCTGCCTAGTCCCACTTCAGGACCGACTCTCTCTGCCGACATATCTTCAAGTACATTCATGAGCCTGACGAGCAGTATCGGCAGTTCCGCGATACCGTCGTCAACGAGTCTTACACAATCGCTATCTACACCTACTTCCCTCTCGTCGAGTAGCTTCGGTTCATCTACTCTTCCCACCAGTGTAGGTAGCTCCTCCGTTGTGCCATCGACAGGTTCCACTTCGTCGCCCTTCCTGACGTCGTCAGCAGGGAGTTCCATGTCGATACCGGGGACGTTGTCGCCTTCAGCTCCATCATCCGCTCCAAGCAGTACATCCAGCTCTACACCGTCGTCGAGTCTGCCAAATGAGCCCGTAACCAGTACACCCGGTCCAAATACCTCCACCGGCTTTGCTACGCTATTCCCGATTACGAACTCGTCCTCGAGTCTGAGCTTCAACTTGACGTCTACCTCTTCTACGCTGTTGACTTCGGCTACCTTGACAAGTTCTTCAGTTGGCTCTAGCTCTTTGGCCGATAGCTCTACGTCGTCTGGTAGTAGCCTAAGCCTTCCGTCCGCTACTACCTCGTCCAGTTCACTATCGATCTCAGTTTCAATTTCACAAAGCACTTTGACTTCGAGTCTGACCGCCACCAGTGTGTCCAGGTCACCGTCAAGCTCTGTTTTCATTTCGCAAAGCACTTCGGCTTCTATCCCGACCGCCACCAGTGTGTCCAGGTCACCGTCAAGCTCTGTTTTCATTTCGCAAAGCACCTTGACTTCCAGTCCGACCGTCAGCACCGCGTCCAGCTCACTATCAAGCTTAATCCCAGTTTCGCAAAGTACTCTGACTTCTACATTGACGTTGACGACAACTACCTCCCCGCTAGCGACGTCGTCTGCCGCTCCAGGCTTCAACGCCACGTCTTTGTTCAGCGCTCGGGCTATGACGAAGGTGATATCGTATGGGGATGTTGCGATCAGTTTTGTCTTCCCGTCACCCAACATCTCAACGACCGTGTCGTACTGGACTGGAATGTACCCCACGGTGACCGGGCCAGAGCCATCAGATCTGCAAACCATACCCTTGACGACACGGACTGAGCGCCAGACACCAATCTCCGCTCTGCCATCCTTTGAGATCTTCTCATCCCGATCCAGACGTTTCAAGACGGTAGTGACGACAGTGTTCAAAGACGAGGATGAAGGTACGACATCACTAGCGAAGCGGCAGGATATTCCAATCACCGTCGTCGTGCCCAGTCCAACTATAGAGACAACGATACTTGCGACAACGACTGTGGCTATTCCGGATGCACCAGGGCCTTCGTCCTGCGGTGAGTCGGGCAACTTCACGCTGACGTTCGATGACACAGTCACCGGCGATGATGACAACACTATACTACTCGTTGCCAGTGGCATGCAGAACCCCTACCACCACCTCTTCTACGGAAACGGATACACATACGTACCTGACATGTGGGAGCCATACCCCGCAATTTCCCAGCCAAACATCGCCATGTTCCTGCCTCTGACCGGGCGGCTCCTTCCCAACACGCCTTTCGCAGGCACGATGCTTCCTGGCGAACTCGGCGCCGGACCACGAGCATCAGTCAATGCCTACTGGTTCAACGCGTACTCCGCCCACTTTGGCTGTGCCCTCAACGGCCTCACACCCTGTACATTGCGCATATCGGGCTATCGCTACGACACCACTCTCCAACAAGAAGTGCTTGTCGCAGAACAAAACGCGACTATCCCGGCATGCTGGGGCTACATCAACTGCCGCCTTACTCAGATCTTCTTCAACGATGACTTCCGCGCACTGTCTGGTATCCAGTTCAATGCCTACACATACAACCTGGGTATACCGCAAGTGCACATGATGGATGATCTGCAGATGGAATGGTACAACAACACCTGTTCGGCGGGTATACTACGGATAGGACACAGCTAGTGTGGATCTAGGGTGTGGCGAGGTTGAAGCCATCTCATCGGGTATATGATATGTTGTCAGAGATGGCGATGATAAGATTAGCATAGTATATCTTGGTGAGCAGTATATCTAGACGTAAGTTGAATAGAGCTAGTCTTCATCGAATGCGCCACTCTTCCTGCAGATGACCGTGATGAAGCCTCAGGTGACGGCTAGACCGTCGCGCTGTAATGAGGCGTGAGCTCTCCATCCGCGTCGATTGGCCGTGCACGGCAATCGTCGTCCGAGATGTGTTCCAAGGTGTTTCAGACGGCAGGTGCCATGTGAGCTGGAGGGCATCCGAAGACGCGTCGGCAGTCAGCCACGGAAGGAACGACGCGTAGCGTGGGTGCAAGCTCTCCACGGCGACTTCCCTCGTCGACGTCCAGGGTCCTGTTATGGCGTCACGCGGCGCCGTCGGATTTCCATGTCACGCGCGAACCGCTGAGGCTGCAGCTCCACGCGGTGCGCGCATATCGATATAGCCGGCGTATCATTCTCCAGCATAGCTTTGAATTTCCTTTTTCTTCCTTCTCCAAACCTCGCTGCAGCTCTCATTCGTCTTCCCGTCTTCGATTGTCGCATGTCCTGTTCCCGCCTCAAGCGACGTGCCGCATCTGCCTTTACCGCGTAGATACTAGCGTTTGCGCGGCAAGCTTGACCTCTTCACGGGTGCAGGTGATAGCAGTCTCTTTCCCGGCTTTCGCTGCTCAGAGGGAAATTCTCTCACTGCTCCGCCGAAGGTAGACCGCCGACCCAGGCCCGAGGCCCGCTACCACAATTTGCAGAGCTATGGCTACCTTTGCGCCGACCAATTTTCCCTCAGACGTCCGAGACAAGCCACCCCACCAAGAGCCCCCACCACAGCATCTCCAACACCACGGACCCTTCTCCCATCAGCTCAACCCGCCCACCGCGCCTCAGTCTCAGTCCTCGAACCCCCCGCCGCAGATAGCCAGACGTGCCTCGCGCGACCTCAGGCCCCAGCACTCCAACGGCGCAATGGCGGGCGCGAATGGCCATGGGCCCATGGCGGTGCCGGGCGGGCGCGCCAACGGCCACGAGCATAGGGCAAACTTGCGCGAGATGGGCTTCGCCGGCCCGCGCAGCCCCCCAAACAACAAGAACACCTCACACGTCCCCTGCAAGTTCTACCGGCAAGGCGCATGTCAGGCGGGCAAGGCGTGTCCGTTCCTGCACTCGGACGAGCCGCTGACGGAGCGGGCGCCCTGCAAGTACTTCACCAAGGTAAGACATGTGCGGGAGGAGGTGAATCATAGCTAATCGCGGTACTAGGGAAACTGCAAGTTCGGCCAGAAATGCGCCCTCGCACACATCCTCCCCAACGGCCATGTCGTGAACCGCGGAAACGCGGGTAATCACTTCAGCCGCATGAACATTCCACACCACCAGGAGATGCCCATGAACAGCTCGCTGCTTACCATGCAGGCACACATGGGCGGTATGCAGCCCGGCTACCCGTACGCCATGCCCGACGAGTACGCGAACCAGAAGAACCAGTACGACATGATCCCGACCATCGACACCACCTTCTCTTCCCACCCAGGCTCTAACTATGGCTCGCCGCCAAACGAGAACGGCCGACTTCCGATTTCGCCGACACAGAAGGGATTGAGTGTGATGGATGTAGGACTTCCGGCGTCTTTCGACAGCCAGGGTGTCTCGACCATGGCGCGATACGGCCCCATTGCGTCTTCAGTGCCCGCCAAGTTCCTCGCAAACTCCCCGCCGTCCTCATACCAAGCCGATTCGCCCGCGCTACGAAACCTACATGACTCTGCGTTTGGAGATGGTCTGCGGAGGGGCATTGCAGGACTGGGGTCGTCTCCACCAGAGTCGGTAGAGCAGCCAGTTGGACGGAGGATGCTACATTCTGAGCTTGCCGCGAACCGCTCCCGGGGTATCATGTCGTCGAGTGTAGGCGCGCGACCGACATACAAGGACGAGGAATGGGATGAGACGGACATGATTGGCAAATTCGAGGAGGACCTGCTGCCCAATTCGCTCAGCGATCTTCTGACACCCCAGGAAAAGATGCGCCGTTTCTCGCGCGACCAGGGCGAGAGCGACAACCGCACCTCGCAGTCCAGGTTCGGAGTCTCGCCAACAGCGTCAGACCTCAAGTACGGATCGCCATCAGCAGCCACGGCTTCTCCCTCGCGATTCCAGTCCATGTGGGCCAAGCCTCGAGGACCGACTTACGACGGAGGATTCGAATCAGGCTCACTACCAGGCCAGTCAGCCTTCGGACACGTCGGCTCACCCCTCCGCAACTCAAGCCTCCATCCGGGAGCCAGCCCTTCGTTACGCGCGATGAACCGACCGACTACCGGCGACATGAGCCCATACCTCGCCTCACCTCCGCGCCAAGCGTCGATGTCCATGATCAGCCAGCAACTCTCGCGCACCCGCATATCAGCCCGGGACGAAAGCGGCATCACCAGCAACCCCATCCACCCCGGCATCAACCGCGTCACCTCCGCATCCAGCATCGGCAGCTCCAGCGGCCGTCTCGGCATCGATCGCGCTGTGAGCAGCAGCAGTATCAACCGCGAGAGGATTGAGGAGGAGCAGGGTTTGTTCAGCATGGAAGAGGAGGATGATCTAAACAAGAGCAGGGACGGCGCTTCGACCACGTCTAGCAACAGCAACAAGCGACTTAGTGGTCTGTCTTGGGGTAGTGGAGGCAAGGGTAGCCCGAACCTGGCTCCTGTTGGTGGTCATCGGACTGCTGGTAGTTCTGCGCTCGGCAAGGAGACGGGTGCGGGTGCTTGGGGTGGGAATGCTTGAATTGGTGGACGAAACCACGACGACGCACAACCTCCGCAAGAAAGTAGCTGCACGCCCAGAGCCATACCAGCACCAGCAGACACCGATCTCCCCCCACGACCGTTATCTCTACGACATTCTTCCCCTCTATCACGAACAAAAGAAACCAGGTTGGAAAATTCTCAGCGTTCCCGGCGCAACTTGCATACAGGGTCCAATTCCTCCCACAACACGGACCCTAATTCCTCCATCTTTCAACGGCATATACATAAAAGTCTCTTAGCTTCGGCTTGATGCGGTCAAGCATGAGGGCTCGATCTGGCGTACACAGCACAATGGCACGGCACGGCACGGGCAAGTGCCATATCCATCTTCTTTCCTATTATTTCCTTTCTTTATGAGTGGGCGTTCGTGCGTTGTTATCATTCCTCCCGACTTTCTTCTTACATGAATGGTGCGTCATGGGCAATGGAGTTTCGAATAAAGATCAATGGCTAGTGGCTATCTTCTTATAGCGGATGGCTTTTATGCTGTACGGTGGTAATGTAGTGGATGCTGGATGCGATGAAGGGTTACTGGAAACGAGTATTTACGATGGCATATGAACGAGCATGGATGGATGGATAGGTAGCTTTAGCTGGAATGTATATATACATATTCTTGATCAAGCGTAACAGGGTCTTCGTATAGGAAAAGCTGATGCAGGCACTGAGTTCGAGCCGTCATTCGCGTGAGGATCTGGCCCCACTGAACTCGATGGGTCTTTGTAAGATTGTGAGTCCTCCCAAAACAAACCGGAAGCCGGAAATTCGCCCGGAACTGGTGGAAGGTCCTTATACTGGAAAGGGAATTCGTCGTGGTAATCATCGGAACTAGCTGACCCGAAGGTAAACATATTCGGTGCTGTATCTCCATTGCCTGTTGACGACTGGCGCCGACCCCAAGCGAACTCGCGCGGAACTGAAGTGAGAAGTAGACGATCGCTGGGGGAGGGGGGCGAGCTTGTTGCAGGTTCTTGTCCGAAAGACGGGTTGGGCAGATGGTTCCTCCAAGATGAAACAGGTGGTGAGCTTTCTTGCGTTTGTAAATGCGCTAGATCCAGTGTAGATTGCTGTCGTGGTGACGATGGCGTTGAAAAGGCATATGGGAATCCTTCGTTTGGCAGACTCGTTGAGGGGCGCGATTGATCAGATGGGGGTTGAGGAGGGTGTAGCATGCTTTGGATAGTGAACGGGCTTGATCGCCCCTTTGGATCTTGAAAAAGTCCAGTACCCGCTTCCCCGGTGACTCGAATGCGATTTTCAGGGTCATTCACGAATTCTTGGGCCACCCGCTGTTGCCGCATGTACCTCTCGTGAGGCCGCCTTTCCTCTTGCGTCTTCTGTTGCTGGTCCTCCTTCTGCCATTTCTCTGGCAACCGTTTATGGGTTTGTTTCTCTAATAGGGCAATCTGTTCTTGATACATCTGGTCCTTCTGTGCCTGCGTCAGTGCCGCGTAGGCGGGATCGTCATCGATGAGTTGCCGTGTCACATCGTCCATGAAACTTTTCGCCAACTGGTTGATGATCGATTGGTCTTGACGATTCTGAGGCATCGAGGCTCCCTGTGCGCTCGGCGGAAACTGTGTTCCCTCAACCCCGCTACTTTTCTGCTGTTTGATCGTCTTATCCTGATGGTGCAGGACTTGCAGTATTAGAAGCTTTTCTGTGTTGACTCCGGGAGCCAGGGTAGGATTTTGCACGCTCCAAGTCCTGAGCTGAGTCCATGTCGTTACATCGGAAGGCAAGTTCTTCCGTATCTGCGCGTTCAAGACATTGGGGGGAAAACGCTCGTCGTCTAGGTAACGTATGACCCCCGGATTCGTCTGTAAGATCTGCTCAGCAGCAGCGATCCTAGCCACATGCGTGGGGTGCATACTCGAACCTGATGAATTCTGCTTATGCTCTTCAGGCTTGGATGCCACATCTGTTATGCGCCGCACCTTCGCTGGTATGAGTAAAACATTGGATTGAGCATGATATTTACGCGTATGTGCATTAAGCGCGCTCCTCTTTCCAAAGCCAATGCGGTTGAATTGACAGGACATTGTCAGGCAATATACGCGTTGGAAATGAATGGTCTCATGCTCGAGCCGGAGTTGCGAGGTGGCAAAGCCCGACGATAGCCTCTCACAATTTGGAAAGCGGCATCGAAAGGCAGTGGAGACATATGATTCCTGGAACGCCCGAAGTGTGGCCGGCGCAATACCTTGGACTTCCTTTTGAGCCAAAAGATGCACGATGGCCCTTTCATATGTGTAGGCAAGTCTGCTGAAAAGCGTTCGGTCGTTGTTGATGACGTAAGTCTCAATATCTGGAGATATTTGTGAGCTCATGGAGGTAGCTACATTGGAGTGGCAGATTGCGTCGTAGGCTTACCCGAGCTGTTGTCACCGTCAAGATGGTTGACTAGTTGTCTGAGCCCTAGTACATCTGCCATCAAGCCGTAGATTGGTATGTTCAGAAAGAGATTGAGCCGTTCCTCTGCGTGGGTGGTGTTTACCCAGTCCGTCGACACATTCTGAGTTGGAGCAAGTCCGAGTGCATGCAGATAGTTTCTGTGTGTTCCGTGCAGCCGGTCCAGTTGACCTTGAAGGGGTCGGCCTGGGCGGAGATCTCTTCCAGAAGCATATTGCAGGCAGTGTTCGATCCAAAACTCTATCGCATATGGTAAGAGCCTGTAGTTGCCACTCGCGATGAGAGCAAGATGATCTGTGTAATTGCTTCCCAAGCGTACGAGTTCCAGGCCGCGAATGACGACAATAGCGCATGCGCACGATATGTCTAGTGCAACATCAATTGCTGGAACGATTTGGGGTATTTGAGCCGTCAAGAAATATCTAATTGATCGTCAGCGGCCATAAATTCAGCAGATGGATAGGTTTACTCCTTCACCGAGAAGTGGACTGGTACTATCGTCGAATCAGGTAATTCTTCGATAAGCGGTTTGCAGTGGTCAAGAATAGAAGCAACAGGAGTACTTCGCATCTGAGAGCCCACGTCGTCTGGGAACATAGACAGCGCCTGCAGTAGCTCTGATTTATGCAGAGGCCTTCGTGAGAAGCATATCCAGCTCATGATGCGCGGCACGCCTCCGTAGCTTTGGGCACCTGGGGCGCTGCAGAGACGAGTCACGATCTGTGCGTAAAGGGCTTCCAGATCGGAGGGAAGATTGTCGACGATAGTACGTAGTTCCTCAGGGCTATACACCGTATCGAGTGATTCCAGCACAAGGCTCACCCACAAGAACATACCTGTGAGTGTTAGAAAATGTGTTGTGGTTCAACAGACTGAGCAGGATATACCCTGAGACTTCTCAAGCAGGGTCTTCTTGACATGAGCCATAATCGAGGAATCTGGGTCGAGCTCTTCGAAGTGCTCAGGAAGATCAGAAAGCTTATTATTGACAAAACTGGCAATCGCACGAGTGACTGCAAGACCTTCGTCGCCATTGCTGAGAGAGATCATTGTTGACAATTTGTCCTTCTTGCGCCGCGAGGTGGCCATAGTGTCTCGGCTCGCGACCATGATCTTGCAGACATGAGAGGACTGGTCGGTTGAAATCATCTGCGAAAGATTATTGAGAAGCTCCTTTTGATCCCGTGAAGCCCATTCGTCAATACCGTCTACGATAAGCCGCACGGATCCCAAACCTCGGAGAAGTTCAGGGAGAAGTGCCAACAACGCTTTCTTCGTGGGTTCAGGATTCGACTTAAAGTAGACGTCGTGGACATATATGGCGAGATCCTGATGTTTTTGAATGACCTGCGATATGAGAGATCGTAGCAGACGGCTCGGGCCATCGGAGCGGCTTCCGAGGAAACTGCAGAAGTAGTAGAACACATGAACGGCGTTCGTCTCGGTGTGCTGCACAAGGGCAGAGCATATCATGGACTTCCCTTTGAGTAGGTCAGCAAACGACTAGCCGTAGCGGCGGCGATTGAACATACCAGCTCCTGGTTTACCGCAAAGCCACAGAAGGGGATTCTTTGCGCTATCTCCTAGCCATAACTCTGTTGCTTTATGCTGTATGAACCAATCGCAGCTGTGTGGCAAGTAATCTCGGAGGTGCCGGTCAAGCAAGTCGGCTGGGGGTATATCAGTCGTTCCCAGCCAGGCTAAGACTTTTTGAATCTTGACCTAGAAGCGTGGCACGGAGTCAGCGCGTGTCTCACAAACAGAAAGTGTATTAGTGCATACTTACAGCAGTCCACTCACATTCTTGTTGCTCCCAATTCTCATCATCAGCTTTGCTACGTCGGACGGATTCAGCGATGTCCGCTGCGGCAGCTTCCTTGTCGGCTAGCTCGGTGTGATATGCCAGGTTCTTCATTATCCCATTGAACCGAGATTCAAAGCCAGCCCACATAGAACTGAAGAATATGGACCATGCTATAGTTGATTAGAACGACATAACGTCAGGCTGCTGGTGTACTTACATTTCCTTTTCACGAACTTGTAAGCTCGACGATGAAACTCTACAATGTCAGAGTATACTAGAGCTAGCACATTTTGAAAGTTGTGATCATTGACAAGTGCATCGCCAAGACGATCCAGGCGAGAAACAATGTCTCCAATCTTGCCGTAGGCGTCTATCAACTTCTCGAACGCACTGATAGAATCGGCCGTGATCTGTCTCCACAGTAAGTACAGGCTCGCTGGGTAGGCGTGCGACTTACCATAAGCATTAGCTTTACCGGTGCCCAGATCCATGGCAGGAAAGGCGTCCCATTGCAGAGCACTTCGACCACCTTGGAGTAATGCTCCATTCCCCGAAGGAAATTGTCCAGCCGGGCCATGCACCTTTGCGTCCGGCGGGCGCGAAGCTGGCGCTCAATCCGTATCGCCTCATCGCGGACATCCTTAAGCTGGGTGTTGTGGAACAGTCGCTTGTCGTCTGGCGCGACGGTGGATGCAAACCGCTCGAACGCGTCTTGAAGCGTGACGCGGGCTTGGGCGGAAGGGGCCGCCGCCATTGTACCGAGGTCGGGCCGTGCGCGCGTCACCGCGATGAAATCCAGGGCAGGAGGGAGGGGCTTCGACCACAATACACTCGCTACTCTACGAATACAATGATGAAATTGTGAGTAGGGAAGAGATGGGAGGCAGCTTGCAGGAGGCACGCTCAAGGTTGACAACACCTTGCACGCTTGTACAGCCTCGTAGGCAGACACACTCAGCCCCCATGGCTTGCAATAGCTTGCAGTATCCATGCACCTAAGCTCTTTACTTCCATCCTCCAACATGGTGATGTGCGAGACACCGTCTTTCGCGTCTTCAGGCGGCTTACAGTATGCTCACATGTCTTCCTGAGATAGTTGTCGATGAATTCGCTGCTCCAGCCACAAAGCGACGGCGATTGAATACCCCTCATGCGGAGAGCGTCACACTCGCATCTGATCGCGAAGTCCCGGCGCAGACATCACCGCCGTCTGCCTGCGCGACCGCGGAACAGATAGGAGAAGACACTTTAGTATGCTATGGCATGGTCAGTCGCGCCCTGCTCACCTTATTGGTCTATGCTTACCTTGCTCAGATATCAGATTTAAAAGCACACAGTCTCCTCCATCATGCCACCTCCCGTACCCCTACCCCAGACGCGATCCGATTTGATCCTCCTCGTACAATATTCCGCGATAGTGCCAATACGCCGGTCGCGCGGCTGGACGACTATGGGGGCGAGCTGCTACTGCGGCTGGTTGCCGACGACGAGCTCGTATTGCAATTTTCACTCTTTTCGGCGCCCATCGCACCCCCGACGGAACGGCGGATACTCAAGGATACATTTCAGTACGTGGGGGCTACGATATATGGTCCCAAGCGCCGCTCCGGTGATGTGGGCGATTTCTTGAATCAAGCCGGTTGCTACTTGGATGACCCTGTTGGCTGTGACCGCAACGTCCCCTATGTGAACCCTCAATGTCTGTTTACTCTTCACGAAGCGCCACCAATGACGTTCGATTTATTGCAGTCTCACGAATCACACATCGACAGCTTTTCACGAGCCTCTCTAGATGTTTTGTCTCGGTTCGAAACTACTGATGAGTTCGAGTTATCGGCTAGCCCGAAAGCTCTTAGGACCGAGTTGAAAGAGTACGTAGCCCTCCGTGAAAGGACTACATCAGCTGACTTGGAATCAAAGACATCAGAAACAAGCCCTGACTTTCTTCCTGCGGCGCGAACGAGGTATGCATCCAAACAAAGATGGTGTTGGTATATGGCTGCGGAAGACAAGCGCGGGACAATCTACGTGCGTATGCCCGAGCTATTATTTCACGTCTCAATGCTGAACCTTGATGTGCTTCAGTTTTGTGAACGCTGTGACTGGCGAAGTCCAATCTGCCCCTGGTCCGGTGTGGAGTGGTGGATTGCTCGCCGATGAGATGGGCCTTGGGAAGACGCTGAGCATGATCGCTTTGATCGCTTCTGACCAAGATCGCCGTTCAGACAACGATCCACCCACAGGCTACTCCGCTTCCGATACTTGCATAGCATCGACTCTGATAGTGGTGCCACTGAGCTGTAGGAGTGCATGCATCCTACGACTTCACGCACGCTGACGCCATCTGCAGTGTTTAGTGTCTGGGAATCGCAGCTACAGAGGTTCGTCGTCGCAAACTATGCGAGGTACGCTTATTGACCGTCATCAGCCACGTCCATCCCGGCAAATTAACATGGTGCATGCACCACGGCAACCGAAGGTTCAAGCTGAAGAACCATAAAAGACCGCCCGGTAGGTTGTATTTACGTACACACCACAGATAATGCGTCGACTGACGGGCCGCTGCATCACTAGAGATTGTCTTCACTACCTACCAGACTCTCGAGGGAGAGTATCGCAGGAGCGTTCGGAGCAGCGGCTCTATCTTCTCGCACCACTGGAGGCGAGTCGTTCTCGACGAGGGTAGGCATAAAGGGCCCCCACATTTCGTGCTTCCATACTGACTGCACCTCTCTCTAGCACATACAATACGCAATCACAAGACGTCTACTGCGCACGCAATGGCCGCACTCCGTGCAACTTCAAGATGGGCAGTCTCTGGTACTCCAGTTCAGAACAGCCTACTCGACTTCCATGGTCTCTTCAAATTCCTTCATTTCGCACCATACGACGATCCAAAAGTGTTCGATGACGATATTTCGAGTATATGGCGTACAAAGTCCGTCGAAGAGGCTGGGGAAACGTTCAAGAAATTGCTCTCGTGCATGATGATCCGCCGAACGAAGGCTATCTTGGATCTGCCCAGCAAAGACGACCATCTGATGCGTGTGCCATTCAACCACGAGGAAGAAAGACATTATCGCCAGATAGAACAACCCGTCATGGATATGCTGGATCGCGACACGAGAGACGACAGGCAAACTCATGCCCCTTGGATGACTGCTATACAGCAGATCAACAAGCTTCGTCTTATCTGCAACCTAGGCGTCTCCACTCCTTCGCAAGCCGACTGCGCCTCGCAACCCGGCGTCAATCCCGATGACAAGACATCCGTGATGAACACACGCTTCTCAATGGACGGAGGATCATGCGAGCTGTGCTCCCAGCCAGTCGAACTATCGACACTCGGCAGTAGTCTACGGGATGTTACACAACCACAAGTCTATTATTCAGCTTGTAGCAAGTTCTACTGTGCAGAGTGCTCCGCGAGCCTTCAATATCGATCACCTGAGCCTTGCGCGTGTATAGAGCAACCGCGACAGTGTCCACTCCGTCTCCTGGCGTCCTTCTTAGCCACCCCCAGTCTTACGCCTACCGACAGCCTTTCTCCCTCATCAATGGATTGGGACTATAGCAATGAAGTCTCAAGCAAAGTATGGGCGCTTGTGTCTCAGATCAGGTCGCGCCCGCAGGAAAAGCAGTGAGCCCACCAGCATCATCAGGCACCTTACCAGACTAACCTTTAGCTAGTGTCGTATTCTCGTCTTGGACGTCCAGTCTCGACATGGTAGAGAGAGCGCTTCGGTGTGATCCAAATCAAGTCATTCAATCCGTCCGAATTGATGGCAAGGTTACGCCGAAGAACCGCAGTATCGCTACACGACAGCTTCAAGATGATCCTGGTATTCGCGTCATACTCATCACCATCGCCTGTGGTGCCTGTGGGTAAGCTTACAAACACAATACACGCTGAACACGAAGACTTGCTAACAGATCTTAGTCTGGACCTAACCGCGGCATCGACAGTCCACCTCCTCGAACCTCAGTGGAACCCGTCTCTCGAAGACCAAGCACTTGCTCGCGTCCATCGCCTAGGGCAGACTCGTCCTGTGACCACTATACGCTATGTCATGAAAGACTCGTTTGAAGAGGTACTCACGCCGCGTTATGTATGGAAATATGGACTGACACGCGCAACGATAGCACATCCTCGAAGTTCAAGATCGCAAGAAGCTGCTCGCCACAACGCTCCTATCGAATGGGTCTTCACTGGAGGTAAGCAATGCACACACACAGAAACCTTCACGATAGCCCTCAGATACTGACAAGACGTTCCCAGAACCTGCGACAATTGCTGCATGAAAGGAAGGGTGGTCAACATACTTGATGGAACGTAAGAGCATCGAGGGCTGAACGCAATATATTCTTCTTATCATTCGTGTCTGAATTCCAGTTTCTGATAACTGCAAATACTTTAAAACGAGAGTACCCTTGTGTATAGGATGACTAGGTATTGCGGCAGCCGTGACTAGATCGTCGACCCTTTGCTTCATCGCGCACAACTTCAACATTATACTGATGCGAGCTTTCATGTTAAGCCTTCCCCAGGTACCGTAAGTGACCTCTGTCGTGGCGTATTTACTCTTTAGCTCGTGATGATAGATGACTCTTGTGGATGGTCCTGCGCCTACCTCTTCGCAGGTGGCTGGTGTTGATGTAGGTGGCCCGTGCGCATCGCGTCTTGACGCGTCGGCGCGTCATCCTTCTGCCATGGCAGAAAGACTCTGCAAGCGCTGCATCTTCAATCACAAACAGAGACCGCACATCACCGCCGTAGATGCCCTTCATCACGCGCTGCAAAGTACAGTCGGACTTCGCACATACCGCTTGCTGCTACATGACGTAGCGCGTGTTACGCAATTTACGGACTTCCAGACAGCATGTTCAGAAGCTGCGCACGGTAATCGTCGTATGCCTTTCTGCGCGCTTCTTCCTTGTTATCAAACTCCACCTTATCCTCTCCGCTCAATCTCGCCGAAATCGCGTCGGCGCTTTCGCGCTGCGCATTCTCGCGTTGGTCAGTCTGGCTCAGCTGTTCGTAACAGAGAAGAGACGTTGCACCAAGACGGCGACGACGGCAGCCACCCAGGTTCTCGTCCAATTCGCCAGTCCTTTGGAGACGAGGCTGCTGCGCGAATGACAAAACTGCGAAGGATCAGCCGCTGCAATTAGCGACGTGGCCTCCAAGTGAAAGGGCGAAGACTATGCCATCATGCCATGGGCGAGGGTTGGTATTCTCTCCCTTAGCTGCACACCGTGCGTGGCAATTCCTAGGTTGTCTTAGCATACCTATGTACCCCGCACACAAGCACGTGATAAAGGCCATCCCAACGCGCCACTCCGCGCAACCGTTGGAGCAGCTCAACCCACTCCGTTTAACTTCAAGGGACAATGCCTGGCGATGTTCAACTCGTACTCCCGCGCCGCAATCCGACAATTGAATGATGGTATCAACGGAGGAGAGTTGTGCGTGCCATGCCAGATAGCTCTAGAAGAAGACGAGCGTACGGGCTTCGCTAGCATTGGTACGTCAGCCTGGCTGAACAATGGCTTCAGAGAATACGATGAATACCAGCATCTCACCGAGCCTGTTCTCTATTGCGACTGTTGCCGTCATGTTCTCCGCACTCGAGAGTTCCAGAAACAACAAGGAAGAGATCAAAGTCCATCGGTGGATGCGCAGAAGTATCCTGGGGACTTCAACGGGTTGACGACGTGTATGTTTCTGCATGATGACGACCTGGATCTGAAAGCGTATGAGGTGGCATTGAACGACTTCAAGATCCAGAGATCAGAGTATAGTCGAACAGTGAGACATCACTGGGCGGATGTGGAATTGATCAAGAGTTGGCTCGGTGACTGTGAAAAGGATCACGGCCATGCCTGCAATGAACACCAGATGACAGTTACTGATACTGGGTCGCTTTTGCTTCTGGATGTTATCGGTGATTGTCTCGCGATTGGGAACTTCAAGGATCGGTATTTCGCCTTGAGTTACGTTTGGGGCGCTTCGAAACAGTTCCTGACCCTGATGGAGAATTACGACCAGTTGCGCGAGCCCGGGACTCTCTCCAAGCAGCCTTTGACCCAGACCATCAGGGACGCAATGGCCTTTGTCAAGAGCCTGGGTGAGCGATACTTGTGGGTTGATACGATGGTAGGCAAATTCAGCATGAATAATTGGGGCCTCCACTTACGAAACCCAGTGCATCATCCAAGATGACGCTGCCAACAAAGCGAGCGCCCTCGCCCAGATGTGCGCAATCTATAGTTGCGCCATGGCCACGATAGTGGCCCTAAACGGAGACTCCGCCGACGCCGGCCTACCTGGCGTACCGCCTACGGCCCGCAACACCAACGCAACCTTCGTCACCCCTGGACTACACATGGTGGAGCGATCATCTTTGGAGAACATGTTGGCAAATCACACCTACGATGGTGTAGACGTCGATTGTGTATACAACACGCGCGCCTGGACATTCCAAGAACGATTACTATCGAATCGGAGCATCTACTTCCTCGGCGAACAGGTGTACTTTCATTGCAAGAAGCAGCTTGTATGCGAAGACAGATATATCAGCGATGACACCAGCTTCTATACACTGGACAAGATGCGCACGACAAGCGCAGAACTGAAGTCCAAGACTACTCGAGCTGGCACGTATAGTCCACTGGACGAGTTTCGTTGGTACGAAGAGATCATCGCAGAATACACGGCAAAGAAAATGGGGTACCCGGACGATATCATCAATGCTTTCACCGGCACTCAGACTATGCTAACTCGCATGTTTGATTGGCCATTTGTCGGCGGCCTTCCGACTTCCCTGCTTGATCTTGCATTACTTTGGACCCCCGTCACTAGCATCGAGCGGAGATTGACTGCCTCTCAACAACCAAGCTGGAGTTGGTCGGGCTGGATCGGGCGAGTTCGATATGCAGATCTTGTGCGCCCAGGCCATAGGCCGATAAGCTCGTTGTTCAAGCCGCTCGCCAAACATCAGCTCGCTATGCCAGCTACGATTGTGTTCGAGTGTATGAGCGTCCCTCTGAAAGCGTTCGAACTCTCCAAGGCTCCAAGAGGGCTTTTTGACCCATTCCAGAGCACATCTAGCCCCATCACCGAAGACTCATACTACGTCTTCGACAGGAATAAACGTCGCTGCGGCATGCTCATAGGCCTTCCGCAAGAGCACGTGCTTTCCATCGCCAGTAGGGGCCTGAAGCTCCTTGCGCTGTCGGCGTGGAAGTCAAACAACAGTCTCACAAAGAACGGGCCAGTCATCTCTCATCTCTCGGATAATGGATATTTCTCAGACGAAGCGGTGTACGATCAAGCTTTCTGCGATGCAGAGTGGTGCACCTACAACGTCATGCTCGTTCGCTCGGTAGGCGACGCGTATGAGAGGGCTGCAGTGGGACAGATGCACGTAGAGGCGTGGCATGGAGCGGGTGAGACGCGGGGAAGGTTCGCGGTGAATTAATTGCATGCCAGCCTATTTTTCCATCTCGTAATCCTCGGGCCTGTGTTCGCATAAAGGGGGAGGATGGAGATATCTTTATTCGTGTAATGACGATAATGATCAACTGCAATAGTATGAGTCTGAACTAGCAGACTAGAGAAGTGAAGAAAGAAGAGTGTGATGAGACAGCCAAATCTATTTACTCCCCTCGACCAGCGTCCACCCAATCAGAAACAGTACCAAGCAATAGTACATAACCGCATTCTAGAACATGAAACGCAACAGCATGCGACACAAATCTCGAAAGTTCCAAGTATCTCGTACCGTACTAATGGCCATTTGTACTGTTGGAGCATTGGGTAGGCACATCGTGAGTGGTGAAATTGTCCCGCGGCGTTTCACCAAACCAGCTCGCTTTTTCCGGTGTTGCCAACGCCTCTCGCAGAACAAAGTCTGCCATCAAGAAGCCAGTAACTTGTTCGGTCGGTGGACGCCACCCTTCCAAGAACGGGAGCCTTTCTTCTTCTGTTCTCATTTAGCGCACTGCTGCAACAGGTGCTTCACGAACAGAAGGTATGTTCGATTTACTTACCGAATAGGATCTTCACAAAATCTCTTCTAGCCTTGCCGGTAGAATCAACCATCGTCTTGAGAAATTTGATAGTCTCAGCGTAACTAGTGATGCGGTGCTGCTCCAAGTACGTGAACCCCGGCGTGTGTTCACGCGAGTATTTGACCATTGCATACCGAGCTTTGGCAGCAATGTCAATATCGATGTATTGCAAGCCATCGAAATGAGAGAACCAACGGTTGAAGGTCTCGTTGTCAAATTTCGCGATACCCTCATCACCGCTGAAGTAGTAGTCCACGCGCGAAAGCGATGCGTCGTGCTCAAATGCATTGTGCTTATTGAGATGGTTCAAGTCGAAGTGGCCGAGCGATGGATCAGGCGCAATGGCGAGTGCAATTCCTGAGACGACTGTCCCCATTTCGATGCTGAGGTTGAATGTTCCGGCCAGAGCTTCGCTCAGCATGGGGATGGTAAGATTCATTCCATCGTGAGGGATGATATGGTGGTTTGCCATGCTGTTCATTGCTGGACATGGGCCTCGAACATCGCCGGGACCTGGAGGCGCCCAATTTGTGAAGTCGATACTGGCGCTTGCAACCCCAGTGATCCAGACGAAGGCGAGAGTCAAGTTGAGGAGGGACATGGCGTATCTTGTTCACTTTTGTCGAAAATGAATTTGGAGGAACAGGTCCTTTGATCGCTGATGAAGCTGCTTCATTGTCTTGTCAAAGATATACAGACCTCTTAAATATTCCTCGCGATTTGGCACAGATGTACGGCGCCACCCAAATCTCGCAGTGTGTCAACCCCATTATGATCAAAGCTTTGAGGTTACATCAGGCAGCCATAGGCAGACCTGAAGCCCGATGTTCTTACGTGGGAGCCTCAGCATAACAGCCCCAATGTCTGAGCCAGCTGGCGCACCTTCCGATGGCCTTCGGGAAAGGAGTACAGGACGGGCGTACGTCTGGACCCAAGCCATGATAATCTCCTTCCATGGCGGCTCGGGAAAGTCTCCAGAAACTGCCTCGCTCTACTACAGAGGGTGCGTGTGATAAAAACAGTCATTTCCAACGCCAACTTACTTTGGAATATGTGTGTAGTTTTGAGAATCTTCGTTAGGCCTGCTTTGGGCACGATAGGAAACTGGATTTGGGAATCTCTTAGCCCCTACGACTGAGTCAGGGGAACAGATGAGCCCTAGCTGACTAGGAGTGAAGCCCCATCCCTCCTTGCCGAACAATTTACCTGTCATTGTACTAGTGATTTTCTGATATGATGCACAGATCGTAGATAGGCGTTTGTTCTCCTTCTCGTGGCGCCTCACACGGAAGGCAAAGCGCCCGAGCATACGCCACATGTCTACCTGGGCTCACTCACAGAGATCTCGGCCAAGGCAATTGTACATCAGCTGCTTTCATATGTCGCAAGTCGGAATTGATGCTAGCTAGATACGAAAAGCCCACCCGCTCAGCTGGGCAATCTCCCGTACCGCTGAAGTAGCCAACCCGTGATCTATGTTTCCCCTGTCGCACTTATCGGACGAGGCAGATACACGCAACAACCTTGCCTACCGGCGATCATCAGCAGTTTACGGTTCGGGAAGCGAAGAACCAGTAGTTTTCACGAAGGAAACCCAAAGGCGTACATGAATGTGGCAGGTCATGGCGTGATGACAGCGTTTGAACGGTACGAATGAGCCAGCACTCGACAAAGTCTGGTGATTTTACTTGGCAGTTCAGTCAGCTTACGGTTCTTCGCTTGTTCCAGCAAATCGGAGTCTTCTCCAAGACAGATGCCCGAGTGTGCCATACCATAGGCTGAATGAAACCGTTCGTTAAGCATCAATCGACGGCCTTATCTGGGCGGAACCTCCGGAGGCGCCATCCTGGGAAGGCCTTTGTGCTACCACACATAATCTTAAATCTTTGACGAATTGTTGGACTCAGCTGAACCATACATGCAGCTTCCCTGCATCAGCATTTCTTACGGTGCAGCATGCGATAATCTTATCTTTGCCTGACAGGAGCACTGCAGCGACAACACCGTTCATACTCATCTTGCAGCGCACTTCGGCGGCAGCGAGGTAACGGAGAGCTCATTGATCGGATATTTTTGGCCGTCATTAGGACGGACAAGGTGTATGCCCCCGAGTTCTCTGGTACACCCGTATAGTGTATTCCAAACAGCAACCTTCAAACCTTTTACTTGTCAGGAGTCGAATGTGCCCATCTTCTCCGCAGGCTACAACTCGTGATGTCACCTGATTCTAACGCACCCTCAATCGGCTCTCTCGTCGAGGAGATCAGTTGTCTGTCGGCAAGGATCTCCAGATACCTGAACACTTCCTCCCAACCTCATCCTACATCTGGGGCTGTTACGACTGCATTGCCAGATACTGATGAGTTTGAAGCTGTACGCGCACCACTCAATGACGCTGCGCTCGACTTACTTCGTCTGGTGAACGGACCAGAACGCACTCTGCGGTCATTCTTCTTCTCACACTATGATCTTGCAGCCCTCCAAGTTGCGCTTGATCGCGGGTTCTTCAAGCACGTACCACTCCCAGAAGTCGGTGTAAAGTCTGATGCGCAAGGTATCGTGGACAACCCCAGTGCTCGGAGTGCCAGCATCCAACAAATTGCGGATAAAGCCGGCATGGATCCTGATCGTGCGGCAAGAGTGATGGGGCTGTTGGCAACGCACCGCATCTTCCAACGAGTACCAAGCGACACCGATCGCTACGAACACACAGCCGCTTCGGCATCGCTAGCCACAAACAAAGGTCTCCATGCAATAGCGGACATGCAGTCAGTATTCAACGACAGCCCGCAGTGCTCAACGCAGCTAACAGTGGCTTACTTAGAATGGATGACATGCTCAAAGCGGTGTCGGCAACTACCGAAACGATTACAAGATCCCCCAATACGTACAGCCAAGAGAATTCCCCGTTCTCTACAGCATATGGAATGAGCATGTACAAGTACTATGAGCAGCAACCTTCCAAAGCTGCACGGTTTGCACAGGCAATGAGTAGCTGGTCTCAACGTTCGTTCTCCACATCATTTCCTTCGATCAAATAGGAGTACTGACAATCATAGTGGATCGACAGGTCTCGGAACTTCGTGATACATTCCCATGGGAGTCATTGGGTCATGGGAAGATAGTAGATGTTGGGGGTGGAAGCGGCCATATCTCAATCGAGCTTGCGCGTGTGGGTTGCTTATCTCCTGTCCGGAAACTCTGGGTGCTAACATCTCCGTTTAGCACTTCAAGTCCTTGCGTTTCGTGGTCCAGGACATTTCCCAGGAGATGCTGGCACAGTCCGAAGAGATGGTCATCCAGGAACTCGAAGGGCGTGTCACGTTCCAGCAACATGATTTCTTCGATACGCAGCCGGTGGTCGACGCGAATGCCTTCTTTCTTCGCCAATGTCTCCACAACAACAATGACGACAACTGCGTCAAGATCATACGCGCTCTTGTACCGGCGCTTGAAAAGTGTGGGAAGGACACACCTCTGCTCATCAACGATGTTATCATGCCCGAAAGCGGAACGATGACTCGCCATGAGGAGCATCATCTGCGACAGGTAGACATCTGCATGATGGTGACATTGGGAGCAAAGCAGCGTACCGAGAAGGAGTTCGAGAATTTGCTGACGCAAGCTGATCCGCGATTGAAGATCATGAAGGTCTGGCCTAATCCCTTTGGCGTTGGGTTACTAGAGGTACATCTTGGTACCACCAATCATTGAAGTAGTGCAATGAACATCGAGAGCATGGCTTGAATGCTAGAGTGATGGAATACTTGTGATTGACCAGATTGCGAGAATGACTGTCAAGTGTAATTCTGTGACCTCGTGATATCCCCTGGCAGCGACGGCACTGTCTCAATCCATTCATGTGTGAAGCCGATCTGCTTCCCATCATTCCGTGTTGTATCCAGACTTCCCAACGACAACGCCAAAAGCGCCACCCTTCTTCCCAAACATGACACGCAAGTCGTCAACAACAGCGTCTGGGTTCTCCCATGCTGCGAAGTGACCACCCTTTTCGTGTTCTTTCTCAAACACGACCGGTCCCAAAGTATGATTCCACAGCTTTGGCAGTAGAATGAGGTCCTTCGGAAACCTTGAGATACCCAAAGGTACATCCGAGTAGGTCTGAGCAAAGACGAATGGAGAGACATCGGCATGCTCCATAGCATAGTAAATATAACTGGTCGCTGCGGGCCCAGCACGCGAAAAGTAATAGATGCTGATCCAGGTCAAGATCTCATCGTCCGTCCATTCGTAGCCATCCACCCAGTCGTGCAGTGCTTCGAGCAGCCAAGCAAGCAGCCCGACGGGACTGTCTGCCATGAAGTATCCCACAGTCTGAGGCTTGGTGGCCTGCTTCCTGTAGTAACCATTCCCTTCCTTGGAAAACCATTCAGTACGACTAAGCCCTTCCAGCTCGCTGGAGCTGAGATCTGAGCTACCCAATTTTGCATGGAGCTCGGGATGGGACTCGACAGTTGGTTCAGCCGGTGCTGCGTTATTTATGTGGTGCGCTTTGACGTGCTCGGGGTATCGGAGGGCGAGGAAGCGGGCAACAAGATATCCCAGGTCACCTGCTTGGACGACGTATTCAACGTATCCCAAAGCAAGCATGACCTTGTGCAAAGCTTCGGCTTGCTGAGCTATGCCAAAATCCTTGCGCTTAGAGGCAGACGAGAAACCGAAGCCAACGAGACTGGGCGCGACAACATGGAACGCCGGAAACTCCACGCCGCCTTGGACAAGCCGAGGTAGGATGCGAGTAACCTCGACGAAGCTTCCGGGCCACCCATGAATGAAGAGGAGTGGAATTGCGCTCTGAACTTCACTGCGCTGATGGATGAAGTGCACGTCCTGTCGTTCGAAACCCTCGATCTCCACCTGTGTGGTGTATTGACTGAATCTGTTTAGATCTGCCTCAACTGTTCGCCAATCGAATCCATTGCTCCAGCGAGAAGCAAGACGCTGAACGTCTGACAATGGGGACCCGTGGCACCAATCGACAGCATCAGCGCACTCCTCGGGGAAATCGGTCAGGGCCAGCTTCTTTTGTAGACGCGAAAGTGTCTCATCCGTGATGGATATAGTAAAAGGTACGACGTGTGACATTCTGTTCAAATCGTTTGACAATGAAGAAGATGCGCAGTCAAATGTGCTGTGTTGGTGTGCGGTCCTGGTGTTGAGGCTCACAGCGTTGCTGATGGGGTCAGAGAGGAGGGGAAGGCCAGACCCTGAAACCTTACCTGCTTACTGACATTGTTGGCGGCAACTGGTATTCTTTGTGTAGCCACGAAACGCAAAAGCATGCAGTGCCGAATGTAGTTAGCGCGGACGTGGGGCAAAAGCAATCAGGGGCCGAGCCGGGAACCGCGATGCCGCTGTATGCTGCATTATCTCCGCAGGACCCTTGTTCAAAGCAGCTAGTCATAGAGTCGAAGAAGTAATGCCAATGATTAGGAGCCTCAGTCATCGTATAGAGCGCGTTGGATTGGATGCAAACTGATCTCATTACTGCCGAGCAAAAGCATGCGACACCATTACCCGGATACCCTTGGAGCCCTTCTGGGCGACCGGCACGAACTGATCACTCTCAATTTCCACATCTCGCTTTCCTGTCTCCCACAGACTCATAGCACCCACGTCATCCTGGCTCCATGCCATCATCGTACCATGCTCACTGCAGCTTCCCCAAGTTCTCCAAATCGCGGCCAATGCCACATACAGTTCCGCATATGCCAAGCTCTCCCCAAAGCACCTGCGGCTGCCAGCACAGAAGCTTACCAGATACTTCTCAAGGTCAGGCCCTCTCCCGGCCAACCAACGCTCTGGGGAGAACCTTTTGCTTTCTGGGTAGATACTCTCATCGTTGTGAATAAGTACGCTTGTACTTGCAACGGGTGTGCCCGGTGGAATGTTCCAGCATTTTCCCGTGTCTCTGTCCGTGAAGACGATGCTGTTGTTCGGATCGATCCGCTGAAGACGGGTGGAAACTCCGTAGCTAAGGCGCAGACCTTCTTTCACCACCGCAGTAAGATACGGCAATGCCTCAAGTGTTGGTAGTGGCGTTTTAGACGCATCATCCGGGTTTGGTATGGCAATAGAAAGCTCGTCCTTCAGCTTCTGCAATGTGTCTGGTTGAGACACAAGCCAGAAGTGGATGAGCTCGAGTGCCGCGGCCGTAGTAAGAGTGCCTGCCATCACCACCATCTGCGCGTCATCAGCAAGACGTTCGATGCTCTTCTCGTGTGGCGGAAGTTTCGAGCTGAGCACTTCGTGAAAGATTGTAGGGTGCTCTCTGCTGCGCCATTCATCGTTTTCACCGGCAATGATCCTCTTGACTTGGGCCTCTGAAGTCCGCTTCTGCGCAGTGAATGTAGCCAGAGCTGGGAACAGATGTTGAAGCATCCAGTTAGGGAGCGACTTTAGAAGAGGATTGATCCATGGAGCATGTTTCACGAAGTTGGCGGAGTTGGCACCCGCTAGCGAGGCATCGCGGGCCCAAGGGTCGAAATTTGGGTCTTCTGGAACGTCATTCAGTTTCAAAAATGTTCGTAAGTCGTTAAAATACTTACCAAGTCGATGATCGCATCTCGCGAAGGAGTAAAGATTTACCACGTCTATAGATATTAGCAATAGAACATCTTGCCGCAGGGTTCGCCACCACTAACCATTGGTAAGAGCAGAAAACATGCAACTAGCGTTTAATACGCGCCGAGAATCTCGGAACTCTTTCATACGATTGAGCATGACCTCAACCCTTTCTGTTATGACCGGCTGCAATCTTCTTACGCTTGCCTTGCTGAAGAATGGTAACAGGGCAGCCCGCCGCTTCCTATGCAGATCATGCTGCACTGTTGCAAAGACGCATAGGTCGAGGCCCATGAACCTTGTGAAGAAAGGGTACTTGTCCGACTTGCGCTGGGAAGTAGCCGGAGCATATATCGTTCCGTAAAAGTCCTGCCATCATTGTAGTTCAGCACGTGTGACATCATACGGTTATATGGCATCATCGTATCAGCGACTCACTGGATCATGAATGTGGACTTCCCAAGGCGAAATACGGATGATTGGACCGTACGTTTTGTGCAGCTCCCCTATCTTGAAAGTGTACTGTCCTCCCAAGACCAGATCGTAATAGATCTCGAATCTATATCCCAGTCAGCCTCTTCACGAATTGCTTTCGTCGGGCTGCCTACAGTCTTGTTACCGCGGCAAGTTTCGGCCCCGGGATATGCGCAATTGGGGACAAGTAGAGGCGCCAGAAGATCTCGTAAGCTACGTATATCAAAGGCGCCAGAAGAAGTACTTCTAGATAGTTCATCGTCGCGGATTGAGAAGAGGTAACTACGGAATGATCATGAGTTTACAAGAGACAGCACCGTAGTAATCTCAAGACCATTGCTATAGGAGCCTTGACATTCATGGTGTCCGTCCGAGAAGAAGCTACCTAGGTAGTGCTTACCTCGATTACTGAGCCCAATGTTGGTACAGAAGTAGACCGATGAGAACCATGTCTCAGCTCGTTATCAGAACGCCGTTGGCAGCTGCATGCCGCTTCAGCCCAGCTTCCGATAGGAGATCTTGTGCTTACTCGGGTATACCCGCGACCGGATGCGTGCTACCTATCTTACAGCGTTTTCGGTAAGCTATGGCGCGCCCATATGCCAGACCGATCGCATGACCCGGTAGCATACGCGGTTCCGCTTTCGATATCTGCGCGGTCGCTACACCTAGGTACCCGAGTGGGAAGGCTCCTAGGGCTTACGTGAGACGAGTCGCACGGCGCTGCGAGCCGAACCGGAACGGGCCCACGGCACATGTCGATCACGTCAGCTCATATCGCAGGCCTCAGGTCCTATGCGTGCTCATGATGATTGGTGCACGAAGTGCACAGATAGTGCGGATGTGGGTTTGATGGGTTGCAGTAGGTTCCAGCCCAGCTGCGCTCGGACGGAAGGCGCGGGCCACTAAGGTCAGCTCCCAACCGTTCGGTCCACAACCTGGGAGGGCGTAGAGATTACGCGCAAACCCTCGCCTTGACCATCGAAACAGTAGTGACTCAGTCTCACCGCTGACCATCTGCTGACATTGAAAGGTGGCATGGACTACCTAGGTGCCTGTCGTGCTACTACATTGTCAGTACCCCGAGGCTGCGACTCAAGGCTGCATCTATTCCGGCCGAGATCGGCCTCAACTTGAGGGCTTCAATTTCGGAAGCTACTCTCCGTATCACGATACTGAATCGGTCTTCTCAGTGACAAGACACATCTTTTGATTATTAGGCACTGATGATCGCGATTGCAAGGAGTGTTTTATTTGCGACTAGCTTGATGACATTCGTGTAAACACCCAAAAATCAGAATGTCACCACCATGTCGCACATGCATACACTGCATATCGTGAGTGAATCAATCCCCACGTAAAGCTTGCACAGCCATGGGCTGATATACGCCTGATCCTCGGGCCTGGGAAGTATCTCGCCTCTCCAAAGTGTAGTCTTATCATGTTGCAAGCGGTGAAAATCCCAGTTGAGTCCTTACCACATACATATGCACCATCCGCGCAGGAGGGCTATGTGGCCATTCATTGTACCATATTGGTATCAATCGGCATGATGACATACATCTCAATGCAGTACGTAGCTGCCGAAGAACCCCTTGGAAGACTTAGAGGGGTGATTGCTTGCGTACATGGACAGGTTGTGGGGCGATAGAAGTCAGCTTTGCTACGAATCGTGGAGCTTTCGCTAGTCACTTCGTAAACACAGATATCAAGGCTCTCTCTCTACTACTGTGGCATTAGTGCGGATCGCTCGTGAGATCGACAACTTCCAAGAAAAACTGCTCAAGTTCTCATCGATATCACACTACCAAAATCACAAACTGTCAAACATCAATATGGCTTCAGCACACGTTTTACCGTCCATGCTCATTTTTGGACCGCAAGCGGAGTTGCCCTCCGATGCGGTGATGGCAAATTTGCGAGACGACCTTGTCAATAACCGTTCGTTGTCGACCTTGGTGGCCGCAATCGAGGATCTGCAGCAATTCTGGACAGCACTGGTCGATTTCGATCCGAGACTGAACGATGCTCAAGGGGGAAAGACACTGAACGAACTGCAGTACTGGCTTCATAGTGGTCAGCTGCCCGACCGCAACAGGGACCTTCCAAACTTGTTGACCGTTCCCATGACGGTCATTCTGCAAATCACTCAGTACGCTCGCTACATTGCCGGGCTCGAGTTGAAGCATCCTCATGTTCACATCCTTGCTGAACTCAAGGAAGCCGGCGTTCAAGGCTTCTGCATCGGCTTTCTCAGTGCAATTATCATCGCCGCTGCCCGCAATGAGGCTGAGATAGGCGTCATTGCCGCTACAATGCTGCGTCTAGCTGTCTGCATCGGCGCCTATGTCGACAAGAATGTCGGCTATGGCGAAAGTTCCTCTCCCAGCGCATGCATTGCCGTTCGCTGGAAAGACGATAGCGTACGCGGCAGGGAAGAAGTTGATGTCATTGTTCAGCAGTTCAAAGAGGTATGTTACAGCGTAACAACTGCGCTTTTTCGGTCAAAGGCTAACACCTCGCTATGTAGGCATACATATCAAGCATCAATGACCAGGCCAGTGTGACGGTTACGGCGAAACATTCGGATATCGCAGACCTAAGGGATAGCTGCCGCTCCCGTGGACTGCGTGTGAGCACCCTTTGCGTCAATGGTCGTTTCCACACTGGTGTTCACTTACCCGCGGTGGAGCACATCAGCGCGTTTGCGAAAGATAGGGATGATATGCAGCTACCATCCACCGATAGGCTGCATTTGCCTGTAAGATCCACCGTTGACGGCACAGTGATTCGAGAAGGAGCATTGATACGACACATTCTTGAGAATACACTATCGGAGCAAGTCAACTGGTACGCAGCAGTGCAGGCTGCTGCTGCTCCGTTGAAGGAGGACACCGCCCCGGTTGTGGTCTTCGTTGGTACTGGAAGCCACGTTCCTGCCTCGCTCCTTCCGGATCCACGTTTCCAAACAATTTCGCTGGGCGCAACGATCGCAAACAAGGCAGCATCAACTCCACATGTCGCATCCCCTCTCGCCAACGTGAACGCCCAGTCTGAGTATCCTCCAAATTCCATTGCCATCGTCGGCATGTCCGGTCGATTTCCAGGAGCAGACTCTCTCGACGAGCTTTGGCAGCTACTGTTGTCTGGCAAAGTAATGGCACAGCCTGCGCCAGTCAAGAGGCTTGGGCTACCTCAGACAGGCAATCACGCAGACACGAAATGGTGGGGAAACTTCCTCAACAACCCTGACGCATTCGACCACAGTTTCTTCAAGAAGTCTTCTCGTGAAGCAATTGCTTGGGACCCGCAGCAGCGGATATTACTCGAAGTGGTGTACGAAGCCTTGGAATCAGCCGGGTACTTCTGCGCAGGATCGAGCAAACAGCCTCAAGACTATGGATGCTACATGGGCGCTGTGATGAACAACTATTACGACAATGTCTCGTGTCACCCAGCTACAGCGTACGCGACCCTTGGAACATCTCGCTGCTTCATCAGCGGATGCGTGAGCCATTATTTTGGTTGGACTGGACCCGCTTTGACAATCGACACTGCTTGCTCTTCGTCTTTGGTCGCCATCAACACTGCATGTCGGGCCATATGGTCTGGAGAATGTTCTCGAGCTGTGGCTGGGGGGACCAACATGATCACCAGCCCATTCGACTACCAGAACCTCCACGCAGCTGGTTTCCTTAGTCCAAGCGGCCAATGTAAGCCATTCGATGCTGGTGCTGACGGCTACTGCCGTGGAGAAGGTGTGGGTGTCATAGTGCTCAAGAGGCTGGAGGACGCCCTCACTGAGAACGACAACATCCTAGGTGTCATCATGGGCTCTGCAGCAAACCAAAACCACAATCTCAGTCACATTACCGTCCCGCATTCAGGCTCGCAAGTCGATCTTTACCAGAATGTGATGGCCGCTGCAGGTGTAGACCCGCAAGCCGTGTCTTATGTGGAGGCGCACGGGACCGGGACGGGTGTGGGCGACCCTGTTGAATACCGCAGCATTCGAGACGCATTCGCCGGTCCTTCTCGAAAAGACCTCCTTCATTTTGGCTCTATCAAAGGGAACATTGGCCACACGGAGGCGACCGCTGGCATCGCGGGTCTCATCAAAGTCCTTCTGATGATGCAGCATGGAAGGATACCACAGCAGGCCAGTCATTCCTCGATGAATCCGAAGATCCAGACGCATTATTCAGATCGCATGGCTTTATCGACGAGAACGATTGAATGGGCTGCTCCAACTCGTATTGCCATGGTGAATAGCTATGGTGCTGCGGGCAGCAACTCGGCTGTTCTGATTAGAGAGTATCAAACGACACCACTCAGAACACGGGAGGCTCTGGCCAAATACCCCATCGTTATTTCCGCAGGCTCAGTGAACAGTCTCATATCTTACACAAAGAAGCTTACGAGTACGCTGCGACACCTACAGTCACACGGAACGACAGTCCAGCTGGGCGATCTGGCATTCAATCTCGCTGATCGAGCAAATCATGCTCTGCCATACATGTTGACAACAGATGTCTCCGATATGACAGAGCTGGAAACAAAGATTGGAGCAGCTTCTGAGAAGGACATCACGATGACGTCAAAGCCGAAGCCAGTCATCTTGGTCTTCGGGGGCCAAGAGAGTGATTTCGTTGGTCTTTCCGAGCCGATCTTCAAATCCTCTACTCTCTTCCGCCACCATCTCGACGCGTGCGACATTGCCCTGCACGCGCTAGGTTGCGAAGGAATCTATCCCGCGATCTTCCAACGAACGGGCATCTCAAGTCTGGTCGCTCTACACTCGGCCCTCTTTGCTGTTCAATATGCTTCCGCTCGGGCTTGGATAGACAGTGGGCTCGAGATCGCCGCCGTCATGGGTCACAGTTTCGGTCAGCTGACAGCGCTTTGCATCTCTGGTGTTCTGTCGCTGGAAGATGCACTTGTGTTGGTTACTACCAGGGCTTCCATCATGCTGAAGCATTGGGGTACCGAATCCGGGGAGATGATGTTCCTCCAAACCGATCAAACCACCGTCTCCGAGCTTCTGCATACGCTGAGAACCCGGAATCTAGCACACAGCTTGGAGATTGCGTGCTACAACGGTCCAAGGAGTCACGTTGTAGTTGGTTCGCGCAACGACATCGAAGAGCTGGACTCTTTGATCGCCAACAACATGCAGTTCAAGGCTTCTATCCGAACCAAGAGACTGAAAGTCACGCATGGCTTTCACTCTGAGTTTACTGAACCTCTTTTGCCGCATCTTGACGAGCTTGCCCAATCTCTTGAATGGAATACTCCGGCCATTCATCTCGAGACATGCGATGAAGGCCAGAGCATCTCGCATCCTGACCACACTCTACTGGCTCACCATACAAGACGCCCAGTCTTCTTTCAGAACGCCGTCGAACGACTTGCACGGAAGTTTCCCCAGGCCGTCTGGCTGGAGGCAGGCCGTGGCTCTTCCGTCAGTCAGCTTGTTCAAGGCTGTATTGTTGACAACCAGAACAGTATCGTGCTGTCTCCTCAACTCACTTCATCGAATGCGCAAGATTCATTGACCAGCGTGACAACGAGTCTTTGGAAAGCTGGGTTTTCGATACAGTATTGGCCATTCCATCGAACACAGAGAAGTCAGTATCAATACTTGGCTTTGCCACCATATCAGTTCGAGAAAACTCAGCACTGGCTTCCATTTACTGGACGCGGAGGTCAGAAGGAGAAGGTTACAGCACCCGTCGACATACAGCCGACAACGCATGAGCTACTGACATTCCTTCACTTCACCGACGACAGTGAGAGCGAAGCTGTTTTCAACATTGCGCCACAAAGCGATCGCTTCAAATCCATGCTTGCAGGGCACGTCATGGCGGGCCAGTCGCTCGCTCCAGCTTCGCTTTACTTTGAAGTCGTTGCCCGTGCTGCATTGTTCCTTGCAGACGATACAGAGAGCGTCATGTACATCCCTACAACGGAAGACCTCACAATGAAGTCACCGATTGGCATCAGCACCGATGTTGATATCCGGCTCTGCTTGAAACGTCTCGACGTCTTGTACCCGTCGTGGTCGTTTTCCATCACCACACAAGCGAAGAGCGCTCAGCGCAATGAGCCCTTCGAGCAGTCGACTGGACGTGTACATCTTACTGCTCGGCAAGACAAGCAAGCGGCACAAGTGTTCAAACGCTTCGAGTCTCTGATCGGCTTGCGTCGTTGCAAGGAGATCCAATCTCATCCTGACGCAGAGAAGATGTCGGGAAACCACATCTATCGTGCGTTTAACCACATCGTGCACTACGGCGAGAACTTTCGTGGCATCAAGGAAGTCTCATGCGTTGGCTTCGAGGCCACTGGCAAGGTCAGGATGTTTGTGGATCCGGAGAGACCTGTCGATGAGAGGTTGACGGACACACCCATGACGGATAGTTTCATGCAGTTCGCTGGTTTCCTGGTCAACTACTTCAACAACGCAAGCTTGGAAGATGTGTTCGTCTGCCACAAGATCGAACATATCGAGATTGGCGATGGTTTCAACCCGGATGCAAATGAGTGGATTGTTTACTCAAACATGACACAAGACGATGATGACGGCGCCTCGGCTGACGCATACGTTTTCGACCCAAGCACGAAGAAGATGGTCATGGCGGCGTTTGGCTTCTGTTTTTCGAAGATGTCGCAATCACTTCTTGCTAGAATGCTGAAGAGCGTCAACAAAAGCAGCACTTCGACAAAGGAGCCGGAAGTGACCGCGATCAAAGACGACGTGACAGTAAAGCCAGCTGCACAAGCAGCTACTGCACTGGAAAGACAGTCTTCCAGCGAGCGAACGCGTGTGCTCAAGATCCTTCACGACGTCACTGACGTATCTCTTGAGCAACTTCAGGATGACTCTGTGTCTCTCGAAGACCTTGGCGTTGACTCTCTCATGGCCACTGAAATCCTCAATGACATTCGTGTCGTACTAGGACTGACCATTGATTTGACAACGTTCCTGTTCTTTGCAAGCGTGAAAGAGTTTGTTGTCTACGTCGATGCCAAACTGGGCATCAGTGTAACCGACGAAGACACGCCCAGTACGAGCGACGGAGTACCTGTTTTGACTCCAGAGTCTCCTTCAAACGGGCCGGCATTTCCATCCGCATCTACTCAGATCGTTACGGTACCAGAAAGTCGACCGTCGATATCGTCGGCTTACGAAGCCTTTCGTGAAGTACGAGGCAATTATGACCAGCTCGCAGTTGGCACCAAGGCGACAGGATTCTGGTCCAATGTGTACCCCGATCAGGCGAAGCTCGTCCTTGCCTATGTTGTTAATGCTTTCGCTCAACTCGGTTGCAACCTAACAACTATGCGCCCAGGCTGCGCAGTCCCTGACGTACACGATAAAGTCCTGCCCGCGCACAAACAGCTTGTACGACAGCTCTATCGTATCTTGGAGGATGCGCGTCTGATCTCTGTTACGGAGGGAAGATACTATCGAACGGGTATCGCAATCGACACCTCGCCTGCTGAGCTCCTGTATCAAGCCATTATTCCTCGACATCCCGAGAGCGCAAATGTTCACAAGCTCGTCAAAGTCATTGGTACTAAGCTTGCTTCCTGCCTCGTAGGCGAAACGAACGGTCTGCAGCTCATCTTCGGAGACCGAGAGAATAAGCATACCTTGGAGGATATGTATGCAAACTGGCCCCTGCTTCGGACGCCCACACTTCTCCTCGGAGACTTCTTGCTCAAAGCGTTCACCAGTGCAACCGGGAGTGGCAAGTTCAAGATCCTGGAAGTTGGGGCGGGTACCGGCGGAACGACAAAGTATCTAATCAGTCATCTCCAAGCCCACAACATTGCATTTGAATACACCTTCACCGACATTTCCAGCTCTCTCGTGAGTGCCGCGAGGAAGACGTTCAAGGGCGTCGAAGGCATGATATTTGAGGTCATGGATATTGAGAAACCCCCACTTGAAGCTCAGCAAGGCGAGTACCACGCCATCATCGCGACGAACTGCATTCATGCGACTCGAAAGCTGGACATTTCTCTCAAGCATTTGCACCAGATGCTGAGAGAAGATGGTGCTCTCACCCTTGTCGAGATCACCAAAAACATGTTCTGGTTGGATATTGTCGTCGGTCTATTCGAGGGCTGGTGGTTGTTCGAAGACGGTCGAACCCACGCTTTGATCGACGAGCTGCGATGGCAGGGCCTGATGAAAGAGGCTGGATTCCAGAGTGTTCTTTGGTCTGATGGAAGTACACTCGAGGCAGCGACAGTACGACTCATCGGCGCCTTTCCTCAAGCTCCAGTTGTGAAATCCATCAACGGCAGAGCAGAGACGAAGACGTCGGGGAAGGCAGTGTTGGAGACGGTCGTGTATAAGACGATCGGCAACCAGGAGATACACGCCGACGTGTATTGTCCCGTCCATCCACCAGCAAAGAAGCTGCCCGTCGCTTTGATGATCCATGGAGGCAGTCATATCATCTTCTCGAGGAAGGATATTCGTCCGCCACAGACGAGACTTCTCCTCGAAAAGGGCTTCCTCCCCGTCAGCCTCGACCATCGCTTGTGTCCCGAAGTCAAGCTCGTGGAGGGTCCAATGGTGGATGTGTGTGATGCGTTGGACTGGGCGCGCAACATTTTGCCGCACATGAAGCTCAATTGCGCGCCCGGTTTGCAAATCGATGGTGAGCGAGTCGTAGTCGTGGGATGGTCGTCTGGAGGGCAGCTGGCCATGTCGTTGGCGTGGACGGCGCCTCAGAGGGGACTGCGTCCCCCGGAAGCGATACTGGCATTCTATTGCCCAACAGACTATGAGGATGAGTGTAAGTTCGCTAAAGCTTGTTGTGGCTAGAAGGACTCACACGCTGACATGTGCATCTAGGGTGGAGACATCCTATTCAGCCCAATGGCGCCGAAGACACAGGATTGGAGTATGATGTACTTGAATCCATCGAAGACGTACCAATCACCAATTACGGTATCGTCGGGGCATGGGAGCCACTCTCGGATCCTCGGATTGGTACAGATGCCCGCTGTCGCATCGTGTTACACATCAATTGGAAAGCGCAGACGCTCCCCGTCATTCTCGGCGGCCTCCCCAGCAGAAAGAAGGCCAACGAATTAGACTCGCAGGACTGGAATGCTCTCCCACAGCCTGCACTGGAGGAAATCATCCGAGCCAGCCCACGCGCACAGATTGTGAGAGGCCAGTACAAGACGCCGACCTTCCTTGTTCATGGCACGAGCGATGACTTGATCCCCTGGGAGCAGTCGCAAGGCACGTACGAGGCGCTCGTGATGAAAGGTGTGTTATCTGGCCTTGCTATCGTCGAGGGTGCGCCGCATATCTGCGATCTCAGTAGCAATCCCGAATCGGAAGGGTGGAAGGCTGTGTTGAAAGGCTACGATTTCCTTTCTGCCGCGATAGACCAATCCAGTTCTGCTGCTGCCGGGTGTTCCATCTGATCGGGTTCTTTCGGTTGCGATAGCCCTCGTTCGAGAGGCCTTCAACGTAGAGAGTGTAGTGTGGATTCTGAACTCATGGGTGGCTCATTCGCGATGGATCATGGCCAGTGACGTCTACAATCGAATCAGCTCGGTGCTTGAGGTGGAAAAGAACAACATCGAGGGATTCAATGTAGTAACTCAATATCATCCCAGCGGAACACGCTGGACGTGATTAACATCGTACCTGCTGATCTGTGATTGCTTGAGCGGCCGAGACCTCGATCTGGTTGATGCAATAACTGGGTATCAAGGATAATATTAACTGTAAGGAAGTGCGCATGCGACGATTGTCGCTGTCGGTAGTATGAGTATATGCAAGGCTGTTGGAGTGTGGGCAGGCCATTTCCAAGGCCCCTGGAAAAGCGCGGGGCTGGGCAGGGTCCAATTATGCGCTAACGACATGCACTCGACGCCCGCGTCATTGTTCCCTGTGTGCCTGCTCCTCTACGCACCATGTGCCGCAAAAGCACTGCGCACACCAGAACTCGACTCATCCAACTACTCTGAAGTAGCCATCGACAACATGTGGCCCTTTACACGTTGCCGCGTTCGCTCATGTACTGCTCCTTCTCTTTGCGCGACCAAATCGCTGCCAGGAGATTGCATTTGACAGTCGTGCGACTGAATGGCGGTCGAAATCTTTCGTACATACACAGCTATCGCCTGTGATTGCGACACATACACACGTCATCCATACTGCACCCGCACCGCCGTTCGAGTCCCAGCCTCCCTTCGCTTATAGCCTGTCTCTTTTCCGTCGTACAGTGTCGCAAAAACCTGCCGAACCCCATGAAACCGTTGCCTTCCTTCCGCCTTCGCTCTCCGCTCGTATAGCGTAATGGAAGACAGGCCAAGAAGATTTTGCGATGACAGGTTCATGGGACTCTAGCCTGTTGTAGAGTTCTGGCGCGACGTGCACGCATCGCATTTGAGGGGTACCCATTCAATTAGGAACGCATTCCGCAATACTTTTGATCGACACCGTGACATGGCATGACGGTCTCTTTACTCAGGAACGACAGAGTGAACCGAATAATATGGTAGTAATAGAGAGGACAACCGCAGCGCTGACATCATCTCACTTACAGGAATGGTGGGGCCGAATTGTTGGTAGGCCCCCAAATCAGCCGGATTACCTGCTGCGCCGCTGTGTCTGATACCAGATTCAGCCTTGAGAGAATCGCTGCGATCCGTCCTGAATCTTTCCTTCGCACTCAGTGCCTATCTTCGAAGCGACTGGAGATAGCGAGATCAATCTACCGTAAACAATGCACCAGTATACGAACTCCTCCCCCAAGGAGACCGTCGTGAGCGGACGCTCACTCGAACGAAATGAGCCTCATGAAAGAAACGAGGCTGCGGCAAGATCGCGAAGTGAGTCCATCTGCTCAGGCTTCAACGTCATCCCAGTGCTTCGATCAAGTTTCGACCCAGTCGCGGCTCCCACTTCATCTTCATTTTCAGATGCGGCGTTGAAATCGTCGGAAAGACCAGATTCTTCCGACCAGACTAGAAGTTCCATCGAATACTCGCCTGGCTCTCTACTCGGTAGACGCCCCAGGTGGAAACGGACATGGATAACGCCCGTCACGATACTAGGCTTCTACTTTATATGTAAGTATGATAAGTAGCGTTGTAGACTGCTTGTTCCTCATGCTAACAGAGTCTACTCAGCATTCATTTGTGCAGCAACACACTACTGCTTCTTCGCATACCTCGACCGTCGTATCATATTCTCAGGCTCTATGCCCTCCGCAAAGACCACGACAGTCCCACAAGCCTACGCTACTACGGTATCGCTAGTGCTAGTTACCGCGTTTCGTGCTGCACTAGTAGCAAGCATTGGGACATGCTATACTCAATGTCTTTGGGCAACATTTCGAAAGCGTGCTCTCAAGGTGCCATTCCTCTCAGTCCATCTAGCGGACTCGAAGTTTACAATATGCAGATCAGCCTAATCGAAGATCTTTTTCAAATGCAAACAAATCCGCTGCGTCTTCTCAACTACCACTTGTACTTCAAAACGCCAATACTTGTCGCCGTAGCTATGTTTTGCTGGCTTGTACCTATTGCAACATTGTACCCTCCAGGTACTCTAGTCGTCGGACTACAACCGTCTTCCATCGATGGAAGGTTCGATGTGTCCGTCTTCCACCACAGGACTCTCCAAGACATCGTGGACGACAATGTTATATCCAGGATTGATTGTGAGTACGGTTGTACAGATTACGACTGCCAGAAGTCTTATTCCGCCGACCTTGCACAGAATGCGTCGCTGCGAGCAACTTGTACTACGTTCAATGACAACATTAACCCTGAATTGGCTTATATCATACACTCAAACCTGATTGTAGGCGAGATCTCAAGGTTAAAGCAGTCAAGTAAGGAGAATAGCTCGTATGGACTGGATTTCTGGGGAACCACCCTAGATTGCGAGACTACGAACCGCTCCATTGTGAGTACAATTACGCAATTCGCCGGTCAAGACCCCTATTATTGGATGCAACATAGTGAACCCGACTGCGAGTTAATAAACATCGTGGGGCAAGAACCCTTCCCTGGAAACACATCGATCACTTTACGCGTCGCTCACCACCAGGATACGTCACAGTATTGGCCATGCTTAGACAAAAACAAATGGCACCCCCATGTCAATGGCTCGCCACCAGAAATTGGCCAGGACATCGACTTTCCCGGCTCTGGGATGCATATCTTTGTCCCTGTCTCCGAAACTGTGTGTCGTCCAAGAATACGGAAATATTACGTCACCATCTCACACTCTGGGGGAGCACAACATGTCTCTTGGGCTGTCAAAGACGAGGAATTCATCCCAGATTACACTACCGATTTTGAAAGCTTTGACGGAACTTTTGAGCGATGGTCACAGGTTTCTGACGCTGTGTTGATATATCAGAACTTTGCGAGAGACTTTGACCAGTCTGGAAACACTGTTGCTACCATCAATTTCGAATTCCCCAGCATGTCGAGCGATACGAGACCATATACGATTGAAAATGGTAGTGTGGTGGAAACATGCGTGCTCGAAACGCAGCCGGGGATCAAAACAGTGGCCACGCCTACCGATCTATCGCGAGAGATCTGGCCTCTCGGTGTCTTCGAGCAAAGACTCCATAACGTCCATCGGTCTTATGGATGCCCGGCATTTGACCCTGACATGGCCAACGAGCTCCTCATCAACACCACAATCTCAGCACTGGCCCTAAACCAGCGCTTCGACACCGTCAACGGCACAGAGACCCGCACCTTCAACATCTATCGCTTCGAGAACAAACTCGCCTTCTTTCTACCATACGGTCTCTCACTCGCTCTAGCGATACCAGTCCTCGTGCTAGGGCTCATAGCACTCTACGTCCAAAACCACGGCGTCTCGGCTATCAGTGGAGGTTTCATGCAGCTTCTGATGACAACTACTGGACGGGGTTCACTTGAAGCGGTGGTTACGAGGGGCTCGGGTACGCTGGGCGGATACGAGAATGTTTCGGAAGAGCTGCGTGGGATGGAGGTTAGGTTTGGAGAACTCGTTGACGCTGGTGAGGATGAAGTTAAAGAGACTGACACGCTTCTGAGCGGGCGTGATGGGCTTGTCGATGTGCAGAACGATGATAGCTCGCAGTCAGGTGTACGAATTCTGTCCGGAACAGAGCGGTTCGAGAACAGCGTTTCTGTAACGCGAAGAGCCGGATTCGGCACGGTCGATGAAGTGATACCATTCAGGAAGGAAGCAGAACAGTAGTTGGAGGCTGTGTGCTCTAGGAAGCTACGAAGGGAGGAAAATTGACGGGTTTGCACTGATTAAGGTTGTCCGGGCACTTGCAATGCTGATGGTTCAGCTCTAACGATGACGGTGACGTACACCAGAAGTCACTTCGGTTAAAATCGAATCGCGTTACCCTCCGTAAAGCGGCATGTCGTGTAGCGCATCGCATTCGTGAGAACTCCAAAGGTGTTGTGATGATGAGCAAAAAGAGAGCAAAAAGAAGCAAAAGCAAAACATACAATAGCGCCCTCAGTGCAATGCTTGCATAGGGCTGAGCAGACGCAGATTCGAGCCTCAAAATTGAACAACACATACCATGTTCGGCCCATCTCTTTCTCGTGGTTCTCTATTCGTATCAGCCAATACGAATGATGGCGTCACGGCGCTAATCTCGGTGTTATGTCGACCGTGCTCACCGGCGGTAAGATTAAGTCTCTCTTCGGTATTGTCTACGGACCGTTTCCAAGCTTACACACCGAGCCAGGGGGAAGGTTGTATTGCTTGCTCCTCCCGTTCGCTCGCTCTTCTTCGTAAAGTTTGTTTTACACATTACATTGTAAACCTCAGAATCATCGCCAGACCCAACAATGCAGACGCGCAAAAACAAACAGGTAGCTTTTGCGGCAGTCGCATTCCTTTCTGCCTTGGCATACAGCTCGCCAGCACACCCGCTCTCGCATCGCGATGTAGCTGCTCTATCCGATCGTCATTCTCTAGCACTCCAAGAGCGTGGTATACCGGTCGTCGACTCAACCATTCCCCTCAAGCTGCGTTCCGGCGCTGGCAGACAACTCGCGAAACGCCAAAGCGGTGGACCATTACGCACCATCTATGACGGAGCGCAATACGCGATTGATGTGACCATTGGCACGGAGACGCTTCAAGTTTTGATCGACACTGGAAGCAGCAGTTTCTGGGTACCAAAGGCCGATTTCGTATGTGTGGACGTAAACGGCACGCAACAGTAAGTCCAACGCATTACCCAACTCTCGTCTAGTACCTTGGATCTGATATTAAACTTTCCTTATCGTAGATCCCAGGCTACTTGCGGATTTCCCAAATTCGGCCCCAAGAGCTTTACTGGAAGCCAAATTCCAGACCAGAACTTCAACGTGACATATGGCGGAGGGGAGTTTGCGACTGGCATTGTGGGTCTCGAAGACGTTGGCTTTGGTGGTGTGACGGTCAAGAATCAGAAGATGTCGTTCGTGGATAGAACCTACTGGCTGAGCGCAGGCAATCTGACTAGTGGACTTATGGGTACGTGAGGCATGTTGTCTGCTTCGAGTGTTTGCTAACGAAAGTCACTAGGCTGGGGACTCGGTGCCACCACCGCCATCTTTGAGGGCGCAGACCCGTCTCAAGACGGCGGGAAAAAGCCAATCTTCGTCAAACCATGGCTGGAGACCGCCTATGACCAAGGCTTGGTAGCAAAGCCCATCTTCTCGGTCGTACTCGGCAAGAGGGGCAAAGACGACGCGGACTTGTCAGCTACAGGTTTCCTTACGATAGGAGGAGCGCCATCTTCATCGTCGTTGCCGCTCACGGGTGCCTACGCTACCACGCCAATCCTCAAAGAGACGTTTGATCATTACCAGCTGGAGAACGAGTATGTTCACTATGTGATTCGACCGGACGGGTTTGTGGTCGACGGAAAGTTCATTGCCTGGGCCCCAGGCACCTCCGCGGGCACCCACTACGGCGACAGTCAAGACCGATTCACGATCCTGGACTCCGGCACCGCTTACACCATGATCCCGAAGGCCCTTGTAGAGACAATCGCTGCAGCCTTCGACCCCCCAGCTTCCTTCAGTGAGGATGACGGGCTCTGGGTGGCTTCGTGCAATGCGCAACCACCTTCTGTTGCCATTCGCGTCAACGGGACAGATCTTCCCTACGCCTCGTCAGACGTTCTTGTCGACGGCACTCTAGGCGTGATCGACGAGGAGAAGCAGACATGCATAGTGGGTTTCATGGAACCCTCTACTCCGCCTTGGGGTGGCGACCTGCCGTATATCCTTGGAGCCAACTTTCACAGGAATGTGCTAGCGGTACACGATATTGGAAACAAGGTAATGACGTTTGGTGCGCTGAAGTGGAACTGATTCGGGGTTTGTTGCGGCTCTCATAACATACACAAGATCACATGTCGATAGAAAATACCTTCACATCTGTCATGCACGGCAATATACCGTAGCTCTCTAGAGATCTGTCGTTCTTCGTGCGCGTAGTGTTCTTCCCCTTTGCGTGTTAGCATCATGGCCAGCCGTTCCAACATGACCGTCAGCCGACGGAATGGTGGTTGACTCCTTCCCTTCATGTCGGTCCGAGGTCGCGACATACACTCAGGCCAGAAGAGTACGCCGACAAATGTATGCTGAGCTGCGCTAGCTCGGTCCTCGTAATGTAGCAATGTACCTCACAGACAAGCACATTACACAGCTAGACGTATTACTCAATTTATTCAGTCTAAAACTTGTTGATAGGCATAGCTAGGGTAGGGTCGCCTACGCAAAGACTACTGCAGCAAGACACAGAGCTCCAGGGAGACCCTGAGTAAAGAAAATCTTGGTATTTGCCGTCAACCCTCCATAAACACCGGCCACAAATACACAGCCCGCGAAGAACAGAGCGATTTGAGGCGCAAACACGGAGCTGGGGTGGACCAAAGACCACAAGAGGCCAGCTGCCAGAAATCCGTTGTACAGGCCTTGGTTGGCGGCCATGGTCTTGGTTTTGGCCGCAAAGTCAGGCTTGAGTGCGAACGCTTTCAACCCTGCTGGTGAGGTCCAGAGAAACATCTCCAAGGCCATGATGTAGACATGGAGGGCGGCTAGTAGAAAGACGATAATAGAGGCGAGGAGCGGCATTGTAGGCGCAGATCGAGGGTTGGATGTGGTATCGTTTCTAAAAGAGATGATGATTTGTGGGTAGGTAGGATCGAATCTGGTCATGAGGGGGAATTGAGGTGAATAAATAGCTAGAGACCACTTCGGCCTTACTTGAAAAACGCTAGTCTAGACGCGTTGCGTGAATGCTGGCGATACGGGCAAATTCCTTCCTATAATGCCGAAGGTTCTTACATTCCCGCGGGAATTCGAGATTAAGATATGAAAGTGTAGACCCTAGGGTATTCAGTTATTCCTAAAGTTGACATGCCCCAGGAGAAGCTCTTGCGCAGATAGTTTCTATAGCTAGGTGCTAGTTTTGTGGAGGCGGAGAGGCAAGGTTCCCAAAAGTTGAGCTGGTGGCGTTCAGGCGGGCTGTGGGCAGCCGCGGGCAGCCGTGGGCGCCGGCTGTTGCCTAGCCTCCCTGCACAGCCCTAGCTGACTGCGTTCATCACCGCCCCGCGTCATAAAGCGACAACCACGTTGGATGTGTCATCTCCTGTTCTTCATCGCACAACATCAGTTTCACCACTAGTCTTTTATTTACGTTTCATTGTTCATATTCTCAAATGCTACCCAAAGTACTGACAGCAAAGTTACATCCACATCATGCGTCTACTAGAGATGAATGAAGATGGAGACCTTAGCCTCAAGGATCACCCGGAAGAGACTGAGCCGCAATATGCAATCCTCTCGCATAGATGGAGCAAAGACTACAAAGAGGTCGCCTTCAACGATGTGATAGACCACACATACAGGGACACAAGGGGATATGAGAAAATCTACGGCTGTGGAGAACAAGCAAAGTGGGACGGCCACCAGTTCTTCTGGATTGATACCTGTTGCATCGACAAACGTAACAGTGCAGAGCTTTCCGAATCGATCAATTCAATGTGGCGATACTACTGCAACTCTCAAGTCTGTTACGTCTACCTAGACGATGTTTGTGCGGATATCGGTGAGGCTGAGAGAAATACTGCGTTTGCCAAATCAAAATGGTTTACGAGAGGATGGACACTCCAAGAGCTACTGGCACCTCCAAAGCTTGAGTTTTACGACGCTGGATGGAACTTCATCGGGACGAAAGAAGATCTAGCAGAAATGATCTGTACGATTACAAAAATTGATCAGCGCTTCCTTGGCTCCAATGTTAACTTACTCAAGCAAGCAAGTATTGCTGAGAAAATGTCTTGGGCATCAGGAAGACAGACAACAAGACACGAAGACATCGCTTATTGCTTGCTCGGAATCTTCGACATCAACATGCCTCTGCTGTACGGCGAAGGCACGAAAGCTTTCCAGAGGCTACAAGAAGAGATTGTGAAGCACTCGGATGACCAGTCAATATTGGTATGGAGTTCACCATCTGCGGGAAACGACAGCAGTAAGCTTTTTGCCCAATCGCCAGCTGCATTTGCCTCTTGTGAACATGTCGTGCGGAGCATACAATCAGGTCCGGTGAAGCCGTATTCCATAACAAACACAGGCCTAAAGATCAGTCTACCACTCCTCAGGGGAGGCGTTGACGGCGAGTTCCTCGCGGTGCTCAACTGCACACGGCGGCTCGACACATTCGGTAGTTTGGCACTTCCCGTAAAGCAGACGGGCAGCAGTCACCAATATCAGAGGCGCAGCGGCGAGCTCCAATCTGTTCCTTTCACCGATTGGGTGCGTTTGGGACAGCAGCCAATGTACATCAGCATGGAGCCGCTTGCTGACTACTCGACAAACCACCTAAAGGACAACACTTCCATTCTACACACACTACCGAAAGGCCATAAAGTCTCCCAGATATTTCCCTCTGGCCCATCGTCTCATTACACGCATACGTTTGAGGGAAATCGGCATTCAAGCTGTCTAAAAGATCCGGACAACCGAACACTTGTGGTACTCAGCTCAGAGAACAATTGCTGCTACCCTCTCATGACGTTCTTTCACAAGAATAGCTTCTTTCACGACTGCATTTGGGATGCCCGGCTCCTTCCTGTTCTTATCGATGACAGCTCCGATATTGAACAGATCTTCCATGCATGGAAACGGGAGGAATTGTCGACACTGCCACGAGTTCAGCGTTTCTCTCATGGAGTA